AATTACTTGAGCTGTGCTTTCTCCTTTCAACCCCACCCTCACTGGACAACAAAATCCTCAGAGTAAAAAGGAAGTTTCCATAGTGGGGGCATCTCAGAAAGTTTAGAGAGAATTTTACCTCAACGAGTACAAATGACTCTGGGACCTTTCACTGAAAAACATTCCTCTTTTTGCTCTGTAACCCAGCACCAGTCAGTCAGTAGGGGGAGACCTCCTTTCTAAATTAAAAGGGCTAACATGTGTTGTTTCCAATAGAAACCTCCCTTTAGAATTTCCTGATCAGCCTGAACCTAGTCTTTTATGTTCCTTAGTGTCTCTTCTTGACATAGAAGAGGAAGAATTCCAACAAAGGTCCCCTAAGTTAATCAAAGTGGCTGAAAATCTAAGTACTACCTTTTTTTTAAAAAAAATAATGTTTTTATTGATTTTTTTAGAGAGAGAGGAAGAGAGAGTGATAGAGAGATAGAAACATCGATAAGAGAGAAGCATCATCAATTGGCTGGCTCCTGCACGCCTCCCCCAGGGGATTGTGCCCACAACCCGAGCTTGTGCCCTGACCCGGAATTGAACTGGAGACCTCTTGGTTCCTGGATCAACGCTCAACGGCTGAGCTACATCGACTGGGCTAAGGACTACCTTTAAAATTGACATTGGAAGAATAGAGTGCAGAACCTACAGAGACTCTGGTAGACATAAATAAACCTCTCCCTAAATTATCTCAATATCCATTGAAGCCTGAGGCCATACAAGGCCTCACACCCATAGAAGACCTAATTGCCGGGGGCTAACTGTTCTCTGTGCTGAGGACAGGATGGCGACTTGTCCAGGATTTGAGGGACCTGAGAGCTCTTAATAACATACAGATTCCTCGGTTCCCAGTTCTAACCCCGAACACTGTTGCCAAGTTCCTCCAGACTCAGCGGCTCACTGCTGCAGGCCCCTGTGCAGCCTGCTCGGCATCCCTGCGGACCCCACAGCCAACCTCTACTTACTTGTACACGGAGTAAGTGACCGTGTACCTGGCAGTCATGCCTCAAGGGTACAGAGGCCCCTCTCATTTCTCCTAAGGATTTCACCGAGATTTAAACATCCTCCAGGTCCCCAGGGAAATCGGCCTTTTTACAACGTGTAGATAACCTCTTGCTGAGCTCAGTTACCAAAGAGGTGTCCATGGAAGATTCCATTTATTTGCTGCAACAGTTCGCTGAAAAGGACACGAAGCCTCTAAGGAAGCATTTCAATGATCTTTAGACAGTGCTCATTCCCCAGGCCGTGATCTCAGTGCCGAAGGAACGCCGCTGTCTCCAAAAGGAATGAAGCTAAGCCAGGGATTTCCTAGACCCACAACTAAGCGACAGCTTCGTGGATTTCTAGGCTTGACTGGTGACTGCCGATGCCCTCACAGTGGCAAAGAAGCTGTTAGAAGAACGTGTTTCCCACTTAGGGTGTACCTTCCACAATTTCCAATGATCTAGGCACCCACTTCCTTGGGCAAATCAGGTGAGCCTTGATGGAAAGACTTGTTCTCAGAATTATCACTGTCTTTATCACCCTCGGTCGCCAGGCAAGGTAGGAAGAATTAATGGGACCCCCAAATTTAAAATCTCTAAGCTTGCTAAAGCTACTGGACTCCCCTTGCCTGCCGTACTGCCTTGGGTCTTGCTGAGTGTTCACAGTACCTCCTCTGGGAAATATAATCTCACTCCACACAAGATAGTCACCAGCAGGCCGATGCCTATTGGTTTTCAACCTTCTGTTGATCCCTTGCTGATGCCTATTGGTTTTCAACCTTCTGTTGATCCCTCGCTGTCTCACGCTAGTAGGACCAGCTGCCGTTAAGTTTCTAATGCTCCAGCTTATCATCAATAGGTTAAAGACGCCACCCAGATCCCGTTTTAAAGGATCCTGTGGGTCACAGCCTAGAGCAGTGATGGCGAACCTATGACACGCGTGTCAGAGGTGACACGTGAACTCATTTTTTGGTTGATTTTTCTTTGTTAAATGGCATTTAAATATATAAAATAAATATCAAAAATATAAGTCTTTGTTTGACTATGGTTGCAAATATCAAAAAATTTCTATATGTGACACGGCACCAGAGTTAAGTTAGGGTTTTTCAAAATGCTGACACGTCGAGCTCAAAAGGTTCGCTATCTCTGGCCTAGAGCCTGGTGACTGGGGATTCTAGACACATCATCAGAGGAGCCCTCGAGCCCCACTGAAGGGACCTTACCAAGTACATACTCCTGCCCACTGATGCTGCTGAGCAGAAGGCCCCAAGCTGTGGGTCACAGCTAAGGAAGGCTCCACCTGACACTGCACAGACACTGCGCACCTACGACTCTCTTTAATGAGGAAGAGAAACAGCTGACATCAGGGCAGACTGCTTCCACCCAAGGCACGGGATCAAGACTGCGCACTTTAACCAAACATGAAACCCTTTCTTCTTGTCTCTTTCCTTCGCTCCAGCCTTGGCCTGGAAAGGTGATGCCATCCATCACCCCCATCTCCCAGACCATTGCCACGGTGGGGGAATTTACCTGTCAGACTTGGGACTTGTTATCAGAACTCCAATCTGGCCATGAACAGTGCACAGTGGAGGTGGCCAATGCCTGGCAGGACTGTGTCCTCAGTGGTTATCATTCTCCTCAATGGCTGGTGTGTAACAGGCCATGCCTCTTAGGCTATCCAACTGTTCACAAATCCACACAGACAGTGTCCTGGGTCAAATCCCCCGAGTTTACACTGTCAAGTTAGAAAGGACCTACCATGATTCAGAATTTACTTCCTTTGGCAGGTCCCTACTTCCCTAGTTTGAAATAATAAAAGTAAGGCTATAGTCAGGATCCTCTCCTTCGCCCTGAAAACACTGCAGAATCCACCGCTAAAGCAACATTTGCCCAACAAGAATTCTTTCAGTCTCAGTCCGAAGTTGCTTTTAACAACAGAAGAGCCCTAGATTATCCTTTAGCTGAGCAAGGAGGTGTCTGTGCTGTGGCCAGCATGCACCTGGATTAATGCTTCTAGCGAAACTGAAACTCAGTTATGTAAGATCACGGAGCAAGCCACATGGCTTAAAAAGGTGACTCCCTCAACAAGATATTTTTTTCACTATTTGCTTTTGACTGGTTTGGGTCCTGGGGACTATGGCTCCAAAGTACATTCCAAATACTAGAAATTGCCCTTTTTATGTTTATCATCGTCATTTCTCTGGCACATTGTGTTCTCTCAAAAGCTCTAAACACATGTTTGCAGCCACTAACCACCAAGCAAATGATCTACTTAAGACTGGATTGTCAGGGAAGGAACAAAGGGAAGAACAGTCTACAGAGAGTGAACCTGGTTTTTTCCCAGCTGCCGGTAAGGTGCTCAGTTCTTCCGAGGAAGCTAAGGTCCCGACGCTGGGGTGAGGCCCTCTTCATCCTGCGACTAGCAAGCACCACTCCCGGCGGCGCTCGCCCTCGCTATGGCCTCCGTCTCGGAGCTCGCCTGCATCTACTCAGCCCTTACCCTGCACGACGATGAAGTGACGGTGACGGGGGATCAGATCAATGCCCTCATTAAAGCAGCTGGTGGAGATGATGAACCTTTCTGGCCAGGCTTGTTTGCAAAGGCTCTGGCCAGTGTCAACATTGGGTGTCTCATCTGCAATGCAGGAGCTGGTGGACCTGCCCCTGCAGCTGGTGCTGCACCAGCGGGAGGTCCTGCCCCCTCCACCGCTGCTGCCCCAGCTCAGGAGAAGAAAATGGAGGCAAAGAAATAAGAATCTGAGGAGTCTGATGATGACATGGGCTTTGGTCTTTTTGACTAAACCTCTTTTGTAACACTTTCAACAAAAGCTGACCTGGCGGGGGGAGGGGGGGGGGCGGGGGAGGTGCAGAGAGTGAACCTGTGAATGTCACAGGGATTAAGCAAAATCATGATGACCTGTGACTATCACACCTGTGACTATCACACAGGGAATCTGAAAGCTGCCAGAACTGCAGAGCTGGAGCTGAGTGTGGTGCTACTGCCTTCAATTTGATCACATCTCCAAGTCAAGCTGAGAGTCTGATCAAAAGGGAGGGACTGTTACAGAGAAAACCCCAACAGGCCCAACTGGAGTCCCTGTGCTAAAGCCATGACACCAAAGCAAGACTTAACATGGGATCTAATTGCAGTTTCAACCTTCTCCAGGAATGTAATCGCAATCAGTCTGGGATCCTCTGGTCAGGACCAAGGCGGTAATCTGTCATGTAGGACTTCGCATCTCTCTGAAAAGGCTGAGCACTCTGCCTGCAAAGGCCTTGGCCTTCCCCACCTCCCCTGTTCTATACATGCTCCTGGGGGAGGCAGGCACAGACTCGCACCTGATACACTTTCTGGTCTGGCCTTTAGGGCCTGGGGGGCGGGGCGGGGGGGAGGCAAGCCACCCTAGGAACTGGGAGTTGGTGCAAGCCCGAGGCTGCCAGCCACAGCCACAGCCACAGCCACAGCCACCACACCCTTGCCAGTAGATTTGTTTCAGCCTCTTAACCTGGATCCACGCAGGCGCCCCAGGCAGGCAGAAGGTCACCAGAGGAAAGGAAATGTCATTCTCAACGTGGTCTAAGCCATTCGTCAAGGACTAGAGGAAGTAGTGAGAGGCTAGTAGGTCACCCACAGCCCTGGTGATATTTTTCCTAAGTTGTTGTGGAGGCTGGTGTGGCTATTTCAGGAGCCTTCTGTCCCCTCGTGGGATGGCCTGGGTCTTCCAAAGAGGACCTCCTGACACTTGTCCCCACCTGCTCTGTCCCTCACTCCCCCCACCCCCCTTCCATGCTGGTTTTGCCCCTGTGGTGCAACGGGGGAGCCAGGCCCTTCTGGACTCTCCCTGCCGCTTCCCCCGCCTGCACTTGAACCTCAGTGCAGCTGCGGCCTCGCACTCAGAGCCTGAACAATGCCCTCGAGGGGTTTGCCCGAGGAAAGGATGGTCTGCACCCATGAGCTCTTCTCCAGCCCTGGCCCACACCCCGACTCACCACCAGGACATGCTCCAGAAGGTCCAGGTAGCTGAGGGTGCACTCCGTCCCGTACCGCAAGGCTCTGGCGCGCACGTCCTCGCTGACATCAGGGTGGAAAGATGCTTGCTGGAGAGAGAAAGGAGCGTTGACATCTTAAAACAGAAAAAGCCAGCTGGTGAGTGAACCGGAGGACCAGGTGGGGTCCCTGGCCCGGGAGTGTCCTATAGCCTGGACCCTGGATTCTGGAACTCCTGCTGCCTCACCTGGTGACCTCTGGGAAACCTGTCCTGACCCCCTGGATAGTGGGTGGTCCATCTCCATAGCAGGCTCCCTCCAAGTCTGTGTCTTGACATTTTTAGTGCCCTGGAGCCAGACAAAAGCAAGTGAATCTGGTCCCTCTTATCTTCCTTTTTCCTTTCTCCCCCTCCCCACCCCACCTTTTATGAAATGTAAGAAATTCCCCAACACTGAGAAGTTCAGGAGGGATTCATGATTAGGGCTTACAGCAGGAGATGTGCGGCCCCAGGGTCAGCTGCGTCTCCTCAGAGCCGTGAGAAGTCCTGCGACCCCTCCCTGGTCACAAGCTAATCGCCGCCAGGCCCTCTCGCTGTGACCTGACCAGGCCGGGGTCACAGGGAGTCGCCCAACCAGGCCCTCTGGCTCCTGGGAACCTTCAGACAGCGAGCTCCCCAGGACCCTCGGGCACCTCGCATTATACAGGCCCAGATAAGCCGAGCAGGACGTATGGTGAATGAGCACTTGGCGCTGTTTCCCGTGCCCTCGTGACCTGCAAGGTGATCATTCACAATATATCATTTCAGACAGCACACCCCCTCCAGGGTTGCTGGATCAGCTACAGAATGCCCAGCTGAATTTGAATTTCAGATAAATAATGACAAAAATGTAATGTAGGTAGGGGACACCTTATTTTTAATTTGCTAAATCCAGCAACCCTATCCATTTAACGATCTTTCTTCCTTGCACGGCCTCACTCAGGAAAGAACTTGAGAGGGCATGCAAGAATACACAGAAAACTGTAAATAAGTCATGAATCAGGACACATGGGAATCACACATTAGGGCAGTGATGGCGAACCTATGACACGTGTGTCAGAGGTGACACGCAAACTCATTTTTTTGGTTGATTTTTCTCTGTTAAATGGCATTTAAATATATAAAATAAATATCAAAAATATAAATCTTTGTTTTACTATGGTTGCAAATATCAAAAACTTTCTATATATGACACGGCACCAGGGTTAAGTTAGGTTTTTACAAAATGCTGACACGCCGAGCTCAAAACGTTCGCCATCACTGCATTAGGGTAGCAGGTCAAGATGGACGGGGTATAGTAACCGGACTCCACATTTCTTCCAGTCAAGCCCCCCTTCCTAGGATGGGGGTGGGGTGCTTGTGGAACACCTGTGGGCTCTCCCCATACCTGACAACCTGCCCCCACCCCCTGAGAGAAGCAGAGACAATTCAATGGCCAGCATCTGTCATTCATGAGTCTGGTTTTACTCATCTGAGACAAACTGGCCTCGGAGGTAGGAGCCATGCCATGCCCGTAACCACAGCTTAACCATGTTAAGAGCCACGTTCTTCACTGCCACTACATTGTATCATCCTCATTCCCGTGTCTCCAGGTGTGAGGACAGAGCCCCGTGTCCGCTCTGGTGAGACACACTTGGGGAAGACGCAGATAGCGATGCTGCCTCGTGTCACCTCCAGCGGCTGACATACAAGGCCCTCATTCAGAGCCATGTGGGAGCTAAGGCTGAGGTGCTCTTGTCCACTGCTGCCGGCTCTGTATCTTGGCAGGGCACTTTGGGAGAGCAACCTAGCAGTAATTAACATGTCCTATCATTTTACCCACCAAATTCTAACTTCTGGGAGTCTTGCCTAAGGAAATAATCCAAAACAGTGAAAAAACAGATATGCCCAAAGATGTTCCTCGCAGTAAAGTTTATGATAAAAAAAAAAATGCAGACAACCTAAATATCTGATGATAGGATAAAGATGGTATTCATTAACAGAGTATTTCGTGGTCGTTAAAAGCATCAGTTATAATGGCTCATAGCAACATAGAAGCAACCATCTAATGTTAATTGTTAACAGTAGATATAAAATTGTATATAATGTAAACCTATGGCATGGAAGTAAGATCAGAAAGCAGCAGACACTAGAATTAATTTAGGGTGTAGGGAAGTCTCCACCTAAGGAGATAAAACGGGCCAGTATATAACCCACTGCACTTCCATATCTGCCCTGGATTCCCTGCTCAGCCTCACACGGCAACCTGGCCCGCTGCTTGGCACAAGGGTTCCTTCTCCATCCACCATTCAGCATCCCCCGTATTCTATATATTCCCTATTGCATGCACCTCACTTCCTTTCTGCAAAGGGGTGGAAATAATGTAAATGTCAGCCTGCTAAATAAATCCTATCTCAGCAGGAGCCTCAGGGCTCAGCAGTGATGCTTGTCATCAAGCCTGGCTGTTATTTTGCCCTGAAAAGTCAGGATGGCCCAATCCAGGGAGGAGATGAGGCTGGGCCAATGAGTCTTTAAAACTTAACCTCCCCCCTCGCCCCGCTGCAAGCAGAGGAATGTGTATGAAGAAAGAGACTTGAGCCCTAACTGGTTTGGCTCAGTGGATAGAGCGTCGGCCTGCGGACTGAAAGGTCCCAGGTTCGATTCCGGTCAAGGGCATGTACCTTGGTTGCGGGCACATCCCCAGTAGGAGGTGTGCAGGAGGCAGCTGGTCGATGTTTCTCTCTCATCGATGTTTCTAACTCTCTATCCCCCTCCCTTCCTCTCTGTAAAAAATCAATAAAATATATTAAAAAAAGAAAAAAAAGAAAAGAAAGAGACTTGAAAATCTGAGCTGCTTGAAGTTTACAGCTTGATCATTTCCTTCCAAACTTCCCCTTTTCATTGCGTGTCTGTAATGGAGACAAAGTGCCTGTCGCTGCTCAACCACAGTGACCCTGACCGAGCGCAGTGGCTGGGAGGCCACGGCAGCAGAGACAGACTGGCTGCGGGCTCAGAGACCTGGTTTCAGTCCTGGCTCTGAGAGTAAACAGCTGTGTGACCTCGGTCATGCCACTCAGTCCCTCCAAGCCTGTTTCATCATCCATCAGATTAGGAAAATTCCCCTGGCCCTTCCCATCTGGGACCAAATGAGAATATGTAGGACAACCCTTCCAAAACTACGAGGCGCCCTGCATGCACACCCGCGTGGCACTGGGGCCACACCTTGCTAGGCAAGTACTGTTCTCCAACTGAGACTGGAACCCCGCTTGGAGTCATCATTTTCTGGAAGGCCGATTCCATTAAGCACATCAAAATGACCAATACTCGTGGCCTCAGAAGAGAGTCTAAACTCCCTGGCCCAGAACACGAGGTCCCTCATGAAGGTGACGCTACCGACTTGGCCGCCCACTGCCCCCACCCTCCATCACGCCCGGGAGAACAGTAAATTGTCTCCCACACGAGGCCCTTGCACACCACCTCCAACTCATCCTACCCCTTCTGAGGAACCATCAGGTGGACCTTGCACCCGCTGCCCTCATGCCCCACGCTGCAGTAGCTGCAATAGCAAGTTTTCAACTTCTGTGGTCCACCGCCCTGCTCACCATTGCAGGGGGTTATCAGTTAATCACTGAGCAGATGTCAGAGTCCCCGGGGCAAGGCTGGTGCTCAATGGCTGTAGGGGATAGAGAGCTCTCTCTTACGGCTCACTTCCTTAATAGGAAAATAGTAAAGCTCGGGTCTCCCCGGCTCCCTTACAAAGCACTGGCTCAGGGCAGCTGCCCTAGTTCTCTATCTGAGAACCAACAGTTTCTCCAAAATGCCTGGCACAGAGAGCAGAAAGGCAGTTCCCCAATGTTTTGTTCTGTTCCTCTAATTCACTTCCTCCCCGATTAGGGCAGCGCCCCTCCTAGCACAGACTGGATGGCCTACGGAGGCAGGAAAGGGTGCAGGCAGGTGAGGGAGGCAGTTTTCATTTGCAGGGCCTGGAACAAAAGGCCACTGCCCCCATTTACTGCGGTCAGAATGGCCTGCACCATACTCTCGTCTGTTAAGGCAGAACTGAGAGGAGAAGTGAGCGGCTAAGTCAGCAGGGCGACTCCCTCCCTTCGCACGCAGAACTAACTTAGAATCTTTTTCCCTCAGGCTGAAGTGCACACGCCTTCAGCATGCATTTTACTCCGTACTTCAAGGTGCTGAGCTGCTCCTGTGGACAAACCCCGCCCCTCGCCTTCTCCAGACTAAACCAAACAACTCAACCATGACAGAGAACTATCCATCCATCCATCAGTCCAGAACAACACCAAGGCTTTTACCTTGCAAGCCATCAGCATATCTGACACGGCTTTCCGGCTCAGATTAGCCGTGGCGATCACGTCCTCCTGTCTACACGAGTTCCCAGCTGCCACGGCTTTGGCTGTTGCCATGGTGATGCCTTTCGTCATCCTTATAGATTCTTCAGGTGATGATGTCTTTTCAGGTACTTCTTTTGACTGGAACACCTGGAAGTTAGAAATGGAAGAGGTGAAAAAAAATCAAAAAGGGAAGGACAAAAATAATTTATTCTTTTCCGACCAGGCTGCAGCTCAGAGTCTGAAAACTGAGCCGGCAACAGGAAGAAAGCGTCAAAAGGCAGGAAATGAGAAATTTAATTTGAGCATAGTAATATCGTTCTTGCTTTCAAGATTCTAGCCTGGATAAGCCTTGCACACCTATACTTGGCATTTAGGAGAACAATGAGGGCCGAGAGATATACCTACAGCATTAACCCACGTGTCTGTCTGCAAAAATGGAGACTCAATGTTTGAAACCATCCACCCCAGGGCAGGTGGGTCTGTGGCTGCCTGCTGTCTTGCCCCATCCCCAGAAACGCTGCAGTCCCGATGCTGGTCCCGGGGCAGGGCTGACCTGGATGCATCAATCTGGACTCACCTCTCTCTCTTTAAAGGGGTGTGGGGCTGGGGGAAATGAAACATTCTGTTTCTTCTATTCTTGGCCTGTCTTACAAATATAACTGCATAATTGTGCGGAGGTGTTCATGTGGAGTGTGCCACAGTGACACTGTGAATTATTTAAACACAGACACACACACACACACACACACACACACACACACACACACACACACACCCCTCCAGAGGAGCTGGAATAAATTAACCATGGCAAGTGAATATACCACTTCAAAGTCCCACCTGTCAGTCAAGCCACCCGTCCATGCTTCCAGCCCATGGGTCTTGTCTTCCCACCATGAGTGCCTAGTGCCCTGGCTGTGTGCTGAGTGTGCACCTGTCCCTGCCCATGAGGACTCCCACACCAGCTGGGGCTGCTGTGTTCAGTCCCAGGCAGCCACGTTTCAGCAGGGAAGTCTTCCCTGAGGCAGAAAGGAGGGCCCAGCCATCATCCTTGGCACGGGCCAATCAGTGTCAAACATCACTTCCCCTAAAAAAATGGGCAGCTGCAACTAAGGCAGGACCCCAACCCCCAGGCCCACCCCTGAAGGCTGCGCTGGAATGAAGGCCACACTTACAGAGCCCTCCACAGGAATGTGGCCCTCCTGGCTCATGCTCTTTGGAACCTCCTGTGTCCACTTCAAATCTGGGTCCATTTGAAATCACACTGGGATACTTAGATTGACCGTGTGTCTATAATTTCCCAGGAAAGCTCCACCTTTCAAATTTTCTCCCATTGCCACTATTAGGCCCACTCACATCTGTCAGAACATGTGTCCGGATGTAGGTCGGAAAGCCCCAGCCCATGTGGGCAGGTAAGTTCCAGGTAGCAGTACTTAAGGACACCACCTGTATTCCTTAGAACGCATTAACCAAGGTGGGTTCACTAGAGACAGGAGAAAAGAACACAGGCTCCGTCACCAAAGCCCAAGAGAACCACTCATTTCCACTGCTGACCCTCAAGGGCGGGTGACCTTCACAGGTGACCTTCTAACGATGCAGGACAGCTGGCAGCAAAGGCCAGTCCCTCATCCCCACCGCCAAAAAGAAGTTGAATCTGTAACCAGACCTCCTATTAGAAAAGAACTATCAGTTGGAAACACTCTTTTCCAGCAAACTTCGGTTTCCAGGGATTAGGGCGAGTCAGTCCAGTCATCACGGAACCAAAACAAGCATAGATAGATAAAGGCATTCAGGTTCTTCTAAAGGCAAATCTGAAACTCCAAAATCCACACATAAGCAAGAGTGAAGTGTTGCTGTTGCGACGGGAATCCAGAGGGGCTGTGAGTGTGGCTACACTATTGTATAGATGATTAAAACTCAAACAGCTATACTGACTTTTCCCTTTGCCAGGAATCTTCTGTGATGCTTTGGTTTCATGCTGCAATTTTAGTGTCATGAAACCTGAACTGTCCTACCTGATACATTTCAATTGATTCCGTAATTACAATTATAAATTGATCCTAACCAAATTCTGGGTGGACAGTTACAGGTGGGATATCGGGCAGGCAAGGGAGTGAGCCTCCCTAGTTCAGGTGCTCCGGGTAGAACCTCTTTATCCTCACAATCTCAGAAAAGCCTGGGCTGGGGTCAGCTGTTGGACATGGGTGCCCCAGGGAGGTGATGTTGGCTCCTCACCGTGAGCTCCTGCTTCATGTACTCGATCGTGGCCTCAAGCGCCCGGGTGCCCCGCGTGGCCTCGTCCTCCACGGCCTTCACAGTCTTGAGAAGGGAGGTGACATTGGTCACCATCACCTGCATGGGAAGAAAGGCCGAGAGGAAACAGTGCACTGAGGGTTCATCCCTACCCCTTCCGTTCCAGATCCGATGCCATGAGCAAAACCACCTTTCCTGAAGCAAGAAAGGGGCTCAGATGCACACCCTGTGCTTCTCTCCCAGCACTCCTCCTGCATGCTCGCCCCTAGTTGGGGGTCCACTCTACCTTGGCAGCCCCCTTGAGCTGGTACATGGAGGGGTCATCGGCGGGCTTGCTGGCAGCTCCCTTGGTAGCACCAATGAGGTCTGAAAGGGCCTTGGCCACATCTTTGATGGCGTTGATCAACACCACCTGAAAGAGAGCAGGAAGCCCAGGTGAGCAACCCAAGTAGTCAGCCACTAGCTTCACCTAGAGCACATGCCCAAGGGCAGGCTGGGGGCATCTGGGTCTCTAAGTCAGTGGCTGTCAAACCTGCAACTCACAGAATCCTGGGAGCTACCCCTGGGCATTCTGATGCAGGAGTCTGGAGGAAGATCCATTATCCAGACTTTGAAAAGCTCTCCAGTTATTTGACATGTTTACACACCTCCTAGAGGGCAGCTCTGTGGACACGCTGCCTACGGGAAGAATGAAGGTGGCTAAGCAGACACCTGAGAGGCAGCACCATTCACCTGTGCTCTGAATTGGTGACCAAAAATGCTGAGGACAAAATGTGAGCCTCATAGCCTGGCCTGCAAGGCCTCCCTGCATCTTTGGCTTTGGTTCCTAGATTCTCTGACTCACTCAACATGCTACAGGCACATGGGTCTTTCCTCCCCACTGGAAGGCCCAACCCACCCCCATTCAGGGCCTCTACTCCTGCTGTTCTCTGTCTGGAACCTGGCTCTTTTCATCCCCCAAATCTCAGCTCAAATGTCATGTCCTCAGAGTCCTTCCTGGGCCACCCAAACTGTATCCCGGCCACACTCACCTACACCCGCATCCACACTGCAACTCCATCAGCTTGCCCTGTTTTATTTACAGCGTTTATCGGCATGTGGAATTATTTTAGTATTCATTCTCTTAAACACCTCTGCTTTCTCCCCTGACTTGGATGTAAACTTGGATGTAAGATCCAGAGGGCTGGCCTGGACTCCTGCCTGTGAGTTTACACTCAGAACAGGGCCTGACACATTAGTGTGCACTCAGCACGTGCTCATGGAATGAATGGATACACAGGTGTGTACCCATAGAACACAGTACGTATCTTCCCTCTTCTAATGGAACACGGCCTGTCTTTCAGTGTGCTGGACTTGGAACCTGAAGTGCCAGCCATACTCGGGGACATGTGACATCGGGCATTACATTAAACTCTTCTAGGTCCAGGTGCTACAATTACAACTCCTACTTCAATAACAACAACAGCAACTTCACTTTATTGAGGGCAGTGTTCCAGGGCTGAGCCAGGCACCATACACATATCATCTCATTCAGTCCTCACCACTGCCATTCCAATTGGGAACTAAAATGCTTATGCCCACACTCCCAGGACTTGGGAGTGGAAAGTTGGGATTTGAACTCTGGTCAATGTGACCCCAAGGGCACGGTCTGTACCTCCAGACTCTATTATGATTTATAGCTCTGGCTCCTACAGACGAGATCAGCAACACCAGCCCTGCCCATCTCCCCGCACTGTGAGGATGAGCCGGACAACATATGTGGAAACACATATTAGAAATTGAGAGTCCCAGGCAGCTACAAGCACAGGGACACTGCGATTTCACAGCCCCCTTCTCCATGCCGTGCCTTCTCACCCACAGGCACACGGAACCGTGGCCAACCTCTGAAACCACGGCACGTTGGGCTGTGATGGGGCTCATGGGGAAGGGTTGATATGTGGGGACCTCACACTGATTCCTGAGACCGTAGCAGGGAGAGGCAGAGAGAAGAGGATGAGGGACAGAAGCATCAGAGCTGCCACTATCCCACCTGCCCTGTCCCATCCCTGGTCACTGGACAACTGGCTGGCAAGTGGGGACATTTTCCTCTAGAGGTCTCATTAGAAATTGAAGCTTTGGGATATCTAGACCACTTGGGAGTTAAGACTAAGCAATTCAATACATTTCTCTATTCAAAGATTTAAACAGTTTCTGGGCAAGTCACTTCTCTTAAAGTTGAGCCAGGCTTGGAAAGCGTGAGTTCCCACCCCAAAGATGCATTCTCAAGCTTTTTCTTCCTCCACGGGGGTAGGAACAATACTGCAGGCAGGGATTTCTGTGAAGACTTCGAGTTGCAAAGGGCAGCTCTGATGCTGTCAGAAGGAAATCCAGCAAAATGAGTAGGGCGGCCACATTCGCAAGGTTCCCTCAGGGCGCCAGGCTGCATGGGAGCAGAGCTGGTGGCCTTGTGCTCATCAGAACAGTAATGACCCAGGCACAGAATGGCGGGAGCTCTCTACCCACGTTGTCCAAATGGGCCAAATAGACTGGTTTGCTAGTCTACTGGTTTCATCAGTGAAAAGGACAGTGTCTACATATGATGGTGCTGGGATAGAGAGAATGGAGGGAATGTAAGTTTTGTACTTGGCTGTTAGTTTAAAAATAGGTGAGCGTACTATCAACAATAAAAAGTATATTAAAATAAATAAAATAAAAATAAATACAAAAATCCAAAAAAACAACAACCACCCAAAAAACACGGGTGAACATATATTTGATGGGTATCCACCATGTACTGGGAGCTGTGTTGGGGGCTTAGGTTTCAAAGATTAATAAGCTATGATTACTGTTTTTGATAGCTGACAATCTAGGCTGAGGGACATAGGCAGATAGCGCCAATGAAACTGCTAAATCAGAACAGAGTATAAGAGCACAGAGCCCTTCCCTACCCCTCCAGTTCTCTCTCCCACTCAGAGCCAAATTTCTCAAGTAGGGTGTCTACAGGTGCTGGCTTCGTTTCTTACCCTCGCCTGGCTTCCCTGCCCTCCAGGTCACGTGGGCCAGTGGCTAGCTCTCAGACCTTCCCTTTTCCTGACTCCTCAGCCATTGCTGGGTTGGAACACTCCCCACCCTTCACACCAGGCTCCCTGGCTCTCCTCCTAGCAGCTGTACCTGCTTCTCGATCTCCTTACTCATCTCTTTCTCCTTAAATGTTCTTAAATTGTGCATTCCTCAGGGCTCCGTCTGAAGCCCCCTTCTCCTATGCACACATTCCCACTTGTGGGGTCACAGTCTGTGTGGCAACCACGCCTGAATCCACATCCCTGTACCTGAGCAGGCTCATGCCCACACACTAGCGGTGCCTGCATGTCCCTCTGCCACTTCTAATTCAACATGCCCCAAACGGAACTCACCTTCATCTCTGGCCCAAGCCAGCTCCTCCCAGGGAGCTCTGTACATGGAGCCACCCCCCACTCACTGATCTAGCCTGAATGTGGAGTCAGCCCTGCCCCTTACTCTCCCTTATCTCCAAATGCTCACTGCATTCAATTTTGTACCAAGCCCGGCTGAGTCTTCTGTACAGATTCCTCTCAAATCTGTTGGCTCAACCCCTCCCCTTGGTCCATGCCACAGTCCTGCCTGGACAAGGTCATCCTACCATCCCCAAACCATGGACACCCTCACACACACACTGTTTACTTCCAAGTCCCCATTTTGCCTTTGGCTTCTTCTGGGGCCTGGTGTCAGTGTTTGTGGGATCACCAGGACCCCCTTCTCCCAGGCCCAACCTACCTGGGTCTCGGGGTCATCAGAGCCCAGGCTGGCCGCCCCCAGCTTGACCACCTCGGCGAGCTGGGTGATGGTGGCTGCTGAGGACTGGGCCGCCTGGGCCAGCTTGTCTGGGGTGGACGCGGCCCCGGACACCAGCAGTTTGGTGTCTTCCACCAAGGCCTTGGCCGTCTTCAGAATGTTCTCCCTGGAAGGGGACAGCAGATGGGAGGGGAGAGACAAGGGCCAAGCGTGGTTACTGACAGTGGGAGGGAAGGAAACCCTTCAGAGGGGCTTTGTGTGGAAGGGCTTTGAGGAGGAGGGTGATGTTCCCCTCCCTTATCAGAGGCGCCCATCTTCCATGTAGGGAGTCAGCCCTGTAGGCACAGAGTCGATTACTAGCAAAACGTCAGTGAAAAATTCAGGCCCAACAGCCCTGCAGCTAAGTGAGAGGTCAGCTTCCTTCCTGAGGCTCCCCCTCTCCCTGCACAAACGTCATAGCTATGGGAACACAGGGACCAGGGACCCTCCCAGCACGTCAGAGCCAACAGGCTGGGTCCTGGAAGGGGGACCACTGGGAGTCTCTCCCAGCCCAGCCCTGGGGCTGAGGAGAGAGGAAAAGGGCGCTGGACATGGGGTGAGGATATGGGTGGACTCCAGCAGCAATGGAGACCCTGGCACCAGCCTTTTGAGTGGGGCCTGAAGAGCCAGCCCAGGAGAGACTGGAGGCTCAGAGTCCCACACCCCAAACCATGGACGAGCTCACTGTCCTTGCCCCCACCCCGTGCTCCCAATCCTGCTGGGGCTGGTGAGCAGACAGAGGCCCGCGCTCCAGCGTGCAAGTGGAAGACCCGAAAGCTGCCCTCTGCAGAGCAGGCTGGGCTTGTGCTGAGAGGCAGAGCTGGAATACAACTCTGTGGGACAGCTGGCAAAAGGGACTTACTTAGATTACTAAAGGCCTGGTGCACGAAAATTCATGCACTTGGGGCGGGGGAGGGGGGGCGGGTCCCTCAGCCTGGCCTGTGCCCTCTCGCAGTCCAGGAGCCCTTGGAGGATGTCCCATGGGAAGTGGGCCTAAGCCATCAGTCAGACATCCCTCGTGCTGCTGTGGAGGTGGGAGAGACTCCCACTACCACTGCTGCGCTTGCAGCCATGAGCTCAGCTTGTGGCTGAGCTGAGCTCCCCCTGTGGGAGTGCACTGACCATCAGGGGGCAGCTCCTGCATTGAGCGTCTGCCCCCTGGTGGTCAGTGTGCATCATAGCGACTGGTTGTTCTCTGTCGTTCAGCTGTTAGGGTCAATTTGCATATTGCCCTTTTATTATATAGGATGTGGTTCACTTTCCCCACTTGAACATCTTGTTGAAATCAAATCAGATGGCCACATTTCTAGCTGCTGGGAAGCATCTCCACAGTCCAGCCCCACCCAGGAGCCCGCACCTGTGGTCTGCGAAGGTCTCATTGTTCTCTGCGTTCAGGGTCCCCGCGGTCGCAAACATGATGGTGGTGTCCAGGTCGGCAATGATCCCGGACACGGCAGTGGCGGCCGTGATACATGCCTGGGTCCCCTTGTTCCCAGCCTGGAGAGCTGACAGCACCAAGGACACCTGTGGGCAGACAGGGAATGTCAGGGGGAGCAGAGGAAACGTAACCCAAATATGCACACAGTCTGAAAACACTGAATTCTTTCTCTGCGAGTTGATGCAGCTCATGGGTTAACAGCACAGTTTGGGGTCAACACTTCAGTCTGAACACCTGCTTTGTTGTTAGCTGGTTACCTAACCTGGGGTAGGAGGGTTTACTTCTCTAAGTCTCAGTTTCCTCATCTGTAAAATGGAGCCATTACTTCTTGTCCATCAGGGCTGTTGGCAGGATTGAGTGCAGGAGAATGTGTGTACAAAGTCTAATGTGGAACTTGGCACAAGGTAAGTGTTCGGGAGAGGGCTGAGGCTATGATGTAGTTATGATTATGTTTCTGAACCCACAAGGAGGGACACAGGATTAGGCTCCTGTGAAAGGTGTGGCCACTTCTGTCCCCTCTGATGAGGATTTCTGTGGACCAGCCCCCTCTGCTAACTAACACTCATCGCTCCTTCCCTTGGCCGCTTCTTTTTGTTTATGTTTTTCACACACCTTTACATATTCTTCATTTTAAGTAAGAAGGATACCTCTTGACTGAAAATCCTCCACAGTGGAGCTCAGAGATCACGGTATGTTACCTCTGCCCCAACACTCCCCTGAGTCACCTGCCACCGAATCATAATCGTTCCAGTGACCTGAGGGTCCAGCAAGTTGGCTAAGGTGTGCATTCCAGAGCCTTCTGTGTCAGGAACCCTGCCTTGCCACCTGCCATGCCCACTCCAGTAACACTCACTGTTCCCAGAGACACTCCTGTGATACAAACCTGACCCCACTGCACACTGCATACAATCCTGCCTGGCTGTGGGGAGGAGTTGAACAGGTACAACTTCTCCAGGACTCCTACCGCACTCTTGCCAGCTCCTTACCTCAGCATCACAGCTCATCACTACACCAACCAGCTCCTACTTCCCAATCCCCTCGGCTTCTTCAGGCTCCCAGTGGTTCTGCCCTCTGTCTGCATCCCCCCTCCCCTCCTCTTCTCCAGCCACTGGTCTGCTCATCCTGCCTTCCCCGCTGTCCTCTCCCGGAGAGATGGCTGGACCTCCTGAGGAGTCTACACACTCTGTCCGTGCCCTCGGGGTGGCCTGCTGACCACCGGTCATAAACAGTAGGAATGGGCCCGTGGCAGGAGGCCCGCTGAGGCCAGGAGCTGCCACATTAATCCCTGAGCACACACTCACCACCCCTGACCACAGCTGACCCAAAGGGGAGTCTGACATGTGTTGTGAATGCATTTTTAAAGCACACTGACCAGGACAGGCAGTGACAGCATCCGTACGAGGCCCAGAGTCTGAACACTTTCCCCCTCCCGTGCGGCTGAGGTCTCAGCAGAGGCCAGGGACAGCCTGGCAAGAGGGGCAGAGAGCCCGCTTCCTGAGGACCCACCACGTCCCAAGACCAGCCCACAGACAACTACTTCCCAAGTTAAACTCCGCTGTGTCCCACCAGGAAAAGGTGAGTCAGGCTGGCACAGAGCTGGCCTGGGAAGGAGGGGTCCAATTTCTGGAATGAACTCCCAGAGGACAAAGGCTGAGGCAAGTAATCAGAGTCTGGGAGGGGCCTTCTCAGCCAGTGTGAAAATAAGGGTGAAAAAGTGTGTCCCGCCCACTGCGAAAGGTGTGCAAGTAGCGGGGGTTTATCGAGCATCTACTAGTCACTGTACTAGTCACTCGGGGACCAGGACAAGGCAAGGGTGCATGGCTGGGGCGAGTGACACAAACACAACCGAGATGTGTGAGAAAGACACGGAGGGAGGGGATGGGGAGAGCAGGAGATCAGAAGGGCCAAGTAGATGGGCTGCTCTGAACAAGCCTCTCTCTGCCTTTGAGCCTTCCCAGGCGTCCTCAGCCAGGGCCAGCTCAGGAAGCCGGCGCTGCCTGGCCAGGCTCATGAACATCATACCGCTTGATGAGGACCCTCCCTTCCCCTCCCCTCCCCTCCCCCTGCTCCTGCTCCAAGGTCTTCTACTGGGAAGCTTGGCAAGAGTAACTTCAATAACAAGGAAGGGCTTTCAAAGGAGGGAGAGTGCTTTCCTGAGCTGGGAGATTTGCTTCCTCGTCCTGTGGAGTCCAGGAGGCTGGATGGTCCTGTGGGCTACGGGAGGCGGCCAGATCTCGGCCCAGCGAGGGGCCACATACAGAGCAGCCTCTGTAGGGCAGCTTCCAGGTGAGGGGTTCCCCGCCCACCCTTCAAGTCCTGTTGCCAAACTTCTAAACAGGGCAGAGCTCTGTGTCCTAAGAAGCTGAGTGCAGGAGCGGTAAAGCCAGCCGAGCTCAGGCTCCTGGCGGCCTGTGAAAGCGCTGCCTGGAAAGGGTGACTCAGAAATAAGCCAAGCAGAAGGTTAAGGACTGCGGGAGAACAAAGGAGACGCTGGGAGCGAGGGGCATGTAGACTTCCCGGGAGGGCAGCGCTAGAGGACAGCTCACACAGACGGCAGCTGGCCTTTACTAAGTGAACTGTGTGCCTGGCACTGTGCCAAGCCTTGGCGATTAGTCTGCACGACCCCACAGGCCAGGAATGAATGATATTCCTTTACCCTCATTTTACAGATGAGGCATTCGAGGCCTGGCCAGGTGGAGTTACTTAGCTGAGATCCTAGAACCCCATCCACCACCTTATGCGACTCGCTCTACAAACGGCTGCCGTCAGTCAGAAATGGCACGCAGGCTCCTGCTCTCTCGCCAGGTGTCATGCGGCTTCGGGCAGGATTCACCCGCCCCCACATCACGTCTGGTTTGGAAACAGAGGTTACAGGAAAGGAACTAGAGGTCCCTCTCACTCAGCCCCGCAACTAGGGGCCTCCCTGAGAAGGAAGCACAGGGACAAGTGTCTGAGGGGTTGCAGGGAGGGGCTCCCGGGGCTGATCCTGGACTTTGCAACCATCTGTCCAGTCTGTCCGCAGCAGAGCCCTGCACGGTGGACAGCCGGGGCCCACCTTGGCGGGACAGCCCCTCTCACACACTCAGTTTCCTAAGGCCTGTGGATCACCCCAGCTCCCTGGGAGGACCCTGGGCTCGAGGGAAGATGCCCAGACCTGACTGGGCTGGGTTGTTTTTGGCTTAGTCTCTTGCTCATGACCTTGGTCACAGCAGGTCACCGTGGCTCTGTCTGACCCAGGGCCGCTCCTTACCTTCTCGGTGACGGCGCGGGCACACTCGATGAGCTCCCTCTTGGTGTAGCTGTCGGTGGGGCACACCTGGAGGGCCCCCGCCTTCTGCACCAGGAAGATGCAGCCGTGGCCCAGGTCCTGCACCCGAGTGCGAATCTGGAAGCCGATCTGTGGAGGCAGCCGGGGTGGGGAAGGGGAAGCGTGATGGACCCGGCCATCGAGGGCCTCCCTGCTTGGAAAATTTCTCCTGCGTCCTATGGGAGCCTGGCTAGGAAAATTCCACTGCTGCTCGGAGTCGGTGCTGGGGGGAGTATGGAATTTGGTTGACTTGGCTTCCCATTTTTAGAGACGGTGACATGCCCACAGCCCTCAGGAAGCAAGTCTGCACCTCATCCTCCCAGCATAATGCCTTCCCGGTGCTTGCTGCCTTTTCTGGTGTATTGCTTGTCTGTGTCCTGTGCCACCTGATAAGCATGTCAGTTAGATGAGCTCTGGGGGACAATTCATTCTGTGATTCCTTCCACAGGCATTTATTGCGCCCCTACTGTGTGCCAGAGCCTCTTCTAAGCAGGTCATGCATTTTACTTTCATTTATTCCTCACAACAGCACTGGGAGGTAATTAGAAGTTCAAAATGTAAAGCTTTAAGAATATTTTAAAGTGTTCAGATTCCTGTGAAATTGTATGTTTACCAAGCAGGACTCCCCCTCCTCAGCTGTAGCCATGCTGAGAGCGACCATGTGGGGCCCAGGCTTCCTTTCTATCAAGCCAGGTTGGAGGTGGCCTCAAAAAGGTACATTTCTAGAGCTAATGGCTCAGCAGGCACGCATTCTTTTCATGACCCCTGGCTTGTGTGATTATCAAAGGCACTTTGCTTAAAAGACGCCAGAGGGGATCTGCTATGGGTGAGCTGGGTGAGCGGCCAGCTGTCTCTTTAAGGAGCAATAAATCCGAGGTCACCCCCAGTGTTCGAAATCCTCTGGTTCTGTTTCCTGTCAATTTTCATTTGGGTTTGATCAATACAGCTGTCATAATAATCTGACCTCCAGCCCAGGTAAGCAACTAAAAACAAACAAACTAAAACCTTTAGGCTTTAGTCAGTAAGTGTTATAATCACAATAGCAAGCAGCTGTGGCTTATCCGCCTAGCATCTGTCATGAAGAGTTACTGAATAACCTCAGGTATTGGGAATAAAACCTGGGAGGTGCGGGCCCCCTGGATGCTGTCTCCCACTTTCATCCCAGGAGGCAGTTTAAGGGACTCTGAGGAGCGAAGGGGCTGCAAATGTTAATTCTCCTATTATTGAAACACTTCCTGTTTTTAGGGAAAAAGGGAATTCCCTTAACCCCTTAAGACTCAAAGAATGTTTAAATCCATTTAATGGGAAATTCTCCTCATCCAGAAAGTTGGGGTGTCTTCTATGGTACCCAGGGGGCTGCAAAAGCGTCCCAACCAGGCAGGGCTTCTGGCAGACCACCTCCACGTGGAATATGACAGGCGCGGCACCCAGGGTCACACAACCCAGCCGCTCTGCAAGCACGCCTGGGCCAGTGCTGCAGCAAGGCCGCCCCTGAGGAGGGAGAGACACTCTAACTCGGCCCTCGCAGCGGGACGCCATTGAAATACCGCTGTTTGCTGGGCATGCTCATTGCTTTAAGCGCGAGGTCAAACTGAAGCCGGCGGATGCCCCAATCACGTTTTAAGCTTAACCTGGCTCTCAATGCTTGTTGGATCCATATGGTTAAACCCTAAGTACTCAGGGGTCAGAGCAAATCCAAAGGCAAGAGCTCTGCTAGGGAGGATGACCACAGATCTCTCCATGGAAGTCAGGTGAGGGGCAAATGGAGGAAGCAGCATGGATGGAATCTCACAATAAAAAACGACCTCACCAGTTCCACCTCCCTTCGTTGACAGATGAAGAGACGGAGGCCAGAGAAGGGATTGCCCGGTCCAAGATCACACAGCGGGTCCCTGGGGAAGCAACCCAGCGTCCAGGCCTCTACCCATCCACCCAGCACAGCGCCCGCTCCTCAGAGCAGCGCTTTCCTAACTGTGATTCCCCCATACAAGCTCTCATGAAACCTCAACATGTAAAATTAATAGAAGTCATTTACCATTAGTATACTCTTCATCCTGAGTTAACATGTATACCCTGACTCAATAAAAAGTCAACAATGAGACCGAGTGAACCTGAAGAGTGGGGGTTAGGAAAGCCAGCTGCAGCCACAGCCACCGACTCACTCCTGCGTTTGGCTTTGGTTGCACAGTGTTGGGAAAATCCCGTTGTGTGAGCGAATAAAGCAAACAGGAGCGGTTTTCTCACAGTGTCCTGACCAGAGAGGGCAGGACAGAGAGGAGTCAGTCCGGGGTCTGCACAGACCACCTGGTCCCGGGTGCGGGGCTGGGGGCCCAGGGTTACCATCTGGCCTGGAACACATTCAACAGTACGTGCAGCTTTTCCTAACAGTTTTAAAGTTGTTCAATTATGTTTAAAAAGTGAGACTGGCCCTAGCGGTTTGGCTCAGTGGAGAGAGCGTCAGCCTGCGGATCAAAGGGTTCTGGGTTCAATTCTGGTATAGGGAACGTACCTTGGTTGCAGGCTCCTCCCCAGTCTGGGGTTCTGTTCAGGGCTCCTGCAGGAGGCAACCAATCCATGTGTTTCTCTCACATCTATGTTTCTCTCTGTCTTTCCCTCTCTCTACCACTCTCCCTAAGAATCAATGGAAAAATATCCTCAGGTGAGGAGTAACAGCAACAACAACAAAGTGAGCCTGGAGCCAAATGTGCAGAACTTCCAAAGCCCCTCCCTGGGTCAGGGTTCTGACAAATAAGGTGTGAAACTGGAATCCTGCTCCAGAGCAGAGCTGTTTACAGAAAATGGGGTACAGGGACAAGCACAGGCCTCTTAAATCACCCCCAAATCACCCCCAAATGGGAAACCTATGGGCAGACATGGTCTGTGGTGGGAATACGTCCTCACGACACTCTCAGGCTCCCTCGGCCCCCTCTCAAAAGGCCATAAACACACACCCCAAGGCCTAGTGCTCAGCCCCTTTCTTGGAGGTGACATCATGCATGTAGCAAAGATCTTAAAATGTGACAGGGGAGGTGGCACAATGGTCATCAGGGATGATATTCCAGTTAGAAAGCATCAGGGAAGAGCAGCACCAGGAAGCAAAGGGATGAGACTGAAATAAGGGAACAGTTGCAAAAGCCGTTGGGGTTCCTGGTCACCCCAGGGTAGGCCTGGGCAGTGGGGTCTATGCCAGGTCACACAGTTAGCGTGGGTGCCTGGAAGGCCCCTTGAGGTTTGGCCATGCAAACCTCCTGTACACCTGGCTGCATGATCCCATTTGGACGGCATGCAGGAGGGATGCAGGATCGGCTTCACTCAGAGATGCAGGATCGGCTTCACTCACTCACCTTCACAGGCTGAGGGCTGAATGTAACGAAGGGCTCTCAGGATCCCCACCCCAGCCCCACTCCTGCTCTAGGTGGACCCCATGGGTACCAGAAAGGACCAGGGGCCTCACTTCCAGCCCTGCCCTTCCCTGGCCACCGGACTCTCTGGGTGAGCCTGCTAACCTCCTGGGGCCTTGGTTCCCTCACCTGCGACCCAGGACAGAATCTGCCCTGCCCACTTCTCAGGGCTGATGGATGACCCAATGCAAACATCCCACAAAGCAGGAAGTGCCATGCGAATGTTCACTCTTGTGAAGAGGCAGCCTGGTTCAGGGGAAAGAGCAGAGGTTGCCCAACAAAGCCGGGTTCGAATCCTGACTTTTCCACATAGTTACTTCTTAACTTACTTGAAACGTCACTTATTCCCAAAAGTTGCTTAAAGTGGCTTCGACACTATGGAAGCTGTGTGATCTTGGACACTAAGCTCTAAGCCTCAGTTTGCTCATCTGTGAAACGGGGAAGAACAAAGGATGGCCTGGCATGCTGCAGGCGAGGGTACCAGGACAGCACAGCACCTGACTCCTCCTGTGGACGCAATCAACAACTCTCTCTCATTCTTCTCCATCGGCCACTCAGTGAAAGGACAACAGGACCAGCATATCCACAAAGCAATCGTCTACTCTACCTCACTTCCACAGAACACTTTGTACGGCCGGAGGGACCACATTTTTAAGACTGAATTCCAACAGATAAGGGCTTTAAATACTGTTTCTCAAAGCAACACTAAACTTCTCAGCATTCGAGGTGAGCCAACTCACAACCAGTGTTTATTACAAAGAAATGTTGCTCAGAGACATTAAACTTGGGTTTTAAATTGGCAACTTGAGTAAAGCATGGCTTGAACCTCAAGGAAACCCTCAATTGCCTCCTTGCCCAAATGGAAGTAAATGGAGAAGGTGGTCTCCTGGGGGTGCACCCTCAGGGAACCAGAAGCCCGGCCTTCAGGAGTTTGGGGTCACATTTCAACCTGGAGGGAGTCTAAGAAAATACCAATTGTCTTCTCTACGGCTTAAACTCAGATTTTTCTCAGGCTTTAAAAACAATCCCATCTGAAACTGGGTCACGTATACTGTGCCTTGGAGAGCCTGTGAAAGCTGAGACGCAACCACGGATGGTGTCTGACAAACCTGACAGTTTCTCCTTCGGCAGAAGGGGAAGGAACAGGGAGAGTGTGTGCCACAGGAGCAGGGCAGCACCATCTCAGCTCCGAAAGTGTGTCTGGGAATGGAGAGCTGAGCAAGTCCGAGAGCGGACACCCATCCCCCGGGGACGAGAGGGCTTCGGTTCTCACCACAAGGCTCCGCAAACGTTCCTGCGGCTCCCCAGAGCTGTGGTCACCCAATCTCTCCCCCAGGTTACACGTAGGAGCTGCAGCTCACAGCACCTGCATTTCTTCTTCTTTTTTTTTTTTTAAGCGGAAACCAATCTTAAATTGCAAAGTTGTCTGAGGGGTTTAACTTTTCTGAAGGAAGACGTTTTCACAGCAATGTGAACAAATGTTTCAATTTTCCATGGAACAATCAGCAAGATAACGCTCCCGCGTGATGTTCCGGGCAGCGCTGTGACTCTTCCTGTCATTGTCACATTCTGGAAAAGACCAGAACGCTGACTTGGCACAGCAGCAGGCAGGGCTGCAGCGAGGGCAGCTGCTTATTTGCCCTGGAAATAAATATTTTCACAGGCTGTGATGTGGGGGCCCTCTCGCGTACACAAATAATTCCACGGTCTTGGAATAAAACACTACGCTGCTTCAGGGATCTCCTAACCTCCTCAGTTTCCCCCCAAATATCTGTCTGGCGAATGCACACAAAGAATTCTCCTTTGCAAGCCACTGGAAATTTTATATTCTGTCTGCCCCTTCTCGCTCCAGGTCACACTGCTTGTGTCTGGAATGTAAAATACATCTCAAGATGTGACGGAAAAAAGGGAGACTCTTAATGGAAACATCAGCTGCTATGAACGCAGGGCCCAGAACTAAAGTAACTAGTTGTGCTTTCAACCACACATTTTCTTTCCTGGCTGCTGTGGCATCACTTTATATTCCGCTTCCGCGGTCTGGGTTGCAATACGACAATGTGCCCGTTTCACACATGGGGTGGGACTCGGATGTGGAAAGGGCTCTAATGGGTGCCGGGTCTCCACTCACTAACTCAGGCAGGCCAGCGTTTAAAACAAGCAAGGCAGATGGTTGTCGATTCCATTTTTAAAGCTTTTTCTTTTTTTTTTTTTTCAAGCCAACCCTCCCTCTCAATCACAGTCTCTTTCAGTTTTAATCTCCCTGCGAAGCCAAACTTCTTTCCTTGGTCCAACCAAATTCTTCCTCCCTGTAACATCAGCTCCCTTACACTTGCTTAAGAAATTCAAAGTTACAAGTCAAATAAATCATGAGTCCAGATGATTGGTCTACTTTTTTTAAAAAGTGATGGGCCTTTTGTAAAGGGTCAACAGAATCCCAATGTGGGTCTCTCATAATTTTTCTTTCTTGGTAGTGACTTGACAGGCTCGTTACGAAAGGATTATTCATGCTGCAGCCTAAATACTCAATCATTCTAAAAATCTCAAAATGCAGGCACTGTTAGAGACTCAGGTCATCCCATGCCAGATATATATGTAAGCAAGTACATATATATGACACTCCTACTTACATGCATTGTTACAACACATGTTAGAAGGTGATTTTTGCGTCGGGCCTTCATTTCTGTAGTGTCTCTGGGAGCCTTTGTTAAGACATGCTTACTAGACCTGACTCCCAGGAGAAACAGCAGTAACAGGAAACACTGACTGTCATCGCCAGGAGAAGGGAAGACCAGGCACAGCCTTCTGCGTGACGTCCCGGCTCACGTAGGAATGTGGTGAACGGGGTGTGCGCTCGATGAAGAGCTTGCAGAATTTCACGGAAAGTGGTTACTCCATCTTCCCAGGTCCCTGCAGTCCACTCCTTTATTTTGTAGTTCAGCCTGAGCTCTCTTTCTCTAAGGAGCCACATAGGCGCTGGGACGGGGCCCTTTCTGTTGCTAACACTGACACCCATGCAGCCAGGCACCCCAGAGCTCCCCATGGGCCCCTGTGTGCTTCCCATGGACCACTCCATTTCTCAGAGGCGTCAGAGATGGGAACGCTCAGAAATGCCCTTTGGGACCAAACTTTTGCCATTTATCTCTTTAAGGATTCAGGCATTCTGAGGCAAAGTCTGTGCTGGCCACGAAGGAAAGTGAGCATAGGGAAGGCACGTAGATAATGAAGAGAAGTGTGCAGGAGGTATGGGGTCTGGGCCAGTTCTTGGAAAGTCACCAGAAATATTTGGGCAAGACGTTGCCTTATGAAAGCAGGCTACTCAGCCCAACACTTCAGTGAGCCTTTGGAAAACATAAAAATAATTAAGAGGAATGTGCTAGGCAGGAGTAGGCAATAATAGGAAGATGGCAGCGGGCGTCTGCCCTTGGCATCGGGTGATGGGCCAGGGGCCAGGTAACCTGATGGAACACTGCAAAGCGAGTCCTTCTGTGGGAAAGCCCACCTCCCCAGATGGCCCCAGATCCCAGCCAGCTGGCCTCAGAAAGCACAGGGAGCCCTGCGCACAGCCTGGACAACTGGCCTGACCCTAGGGGCTGGCAGCATGCAGCGGGTACTAGGCCTGGCTCTCAGGCTGGGGTCTTCTGGAATGGAGCTAAGCTGTGGAGGATCCCCTCACCCCCCGGAGTGGGCACCAGGGTGGGTTGGCTTCTTAAAACAGGGGCTTAAGGTGGCAGACCTCCTCTGGTTCCGCCGTGGCTGCTGCCATCTGGCCCTGGAGAGCCAGGTGCCCATAGTCACTGGTCATTTGTGAAGCCAGTCCTCCCAACTCCTCCGGGTTAGTAACCGACTTAGTCATCTGGAAAAAGAAAACAAGCAAGACACAAAACACACACACAGAGAAAAGCATGAGAATCACGTGTTAATACCTCTGGTAGCCACAAGGTTTCATTCACTTTTCAGCGCTTGGCTTGCATTTGGGGCTGGACACTGGAGAGGGCAGTACAAGCGAAGCCCATGCTGCATCGCACACGACAGGCCAGGGCCCTCTCAGGCCAGCAGGTCCCGGCCGATGGGCCACATGCTAGGCTCAGGCCGTGCAGCGTGGAGTCCAGGCCCTCGGGGTCCATGCTGGGAGGTGAGAGTGGCAACTCGGCCAGCCCTGCCCTGTGGGTTGGTCACCAGAGGAGTTCCCCAGGAAAACCACAGGGTGCACAGTTCCTGTGCAGCGCACACCCCTGGCCACACCCTCTGCAGGGAGTTCGTCTGGTCTCCAGGAACCCAGCCGTGGGTCCCCCTCAGCACGAGAGGGCATGAGGACAGAGCTGCTAAGAACTTCTCTCGACTGAGAAGTGACGGACAAGACAGATGCTTTGGAGGAAGAAATTTATAGAGAATAATGCTTTGTAGTGAATTTGTGCCAAAGAAAGACAAGGTTTTGGCCCCGACTCGGATTAAGGGTATACTGCAGCCTAAGTGGTCAAGATCTATATTTTAATTATCAAGACCAGGGGTCCTCAAACTACGGCCCGCGGGCCACATGCAGCCTGCCGAAAACATTTATCCGGCCCGCTGGGTGTTTTTGCCGCCGCTGCCTGTTGCTTAGCAGCCGACTAGTTTTTTTTTAAACTATAGTCCGGCCCTCCAACGGTCTGAGGGACAGTGAAATGGTCCCCTGTTTAAAAAGTTTGAGGACCCCTGACAAGACATTCTGTGTCTTCCTCCTGTTTCATAGAAAAACTTACCTTAGCTTATCCTACCTAGCTAGCATGCTGGCCTCACGTTTTTCCTCTTCCTTTGACAAAATGCCTTGGTTCCCACAACAGCAGTTTTGGCCTGCCTCCCAGAAAGCTGCCCGTCCCTCGGGTCAGAGGCTTCCCAGCTGCCCCAGCTCTTCTCTCGCTCTGGAGGACCATGCTTTCTCATTTGAAGACCCTGATTTTAAGGGGCTTTTAACTGACTCCACATCCCGAGGCGGGACAGAACCTGTAGCCATGTGTACCAGGAAAGGCCACAGCGTTTCCGGCCCAGGTGTGGGGTCCCCAGGAATGCACCCTGAACCCCGAGAAAGCGAGGCTGTACCAAGAGTTGCTTCATTGGAGCCCTGCCACGCAGAGCACCGTGATTCTGGGGCGCCCCATTGCAGTGAAGCCGGACTTGCGCCAACGCAAGGCCCAGGCTAGTGATCCCAGGAGCGGCAATGCAGCCGAGGCCAGGCTCCTTAAGAACATGGACACCAAGGTCAGGACCGGTGGCTGAGAAGCTAGCCCGGGAGATATTCCAGAAACTCCACGAGGCCACTCAAAATGTCTGCACCCTCTGCTGTGCTGTGTTCCCTGCTCGGAGGCATCGGCGCCGCAGGGCTGCCTGATGTGACCTGTGACCTGCCCCCGAGCAGGGCCAGCTTGGCCCCGCTCCAGCCTTTCACAGTCACGGAGATGGGCACTGTCCCTGCCTCCCTCCCCAGCCCCAAACCTTTAAAATAACAGCCAGCCTGGCACAATCCCAGCGTTTCTAAGAAGGAGCAGCAGCAGCCAGGGAAGCCTTTGTGGTCCAAGCTCAACCTCTAGTGGACACACGACTGCATGACAAAACCTCCAGACAGGCAGTGGGCCTGACGGGCAGGAGCCTCGCACGGCTCAGCCTGGTCCCTGCAGCTGGGAAGGCTGCTCGTGCTCTCAGCTCCGGCTCAGGTGCTAGCATCAGAGGCGGCTTTCAATATCTTATCCTGGGCCACCTGACCCTTCAAAAGTTGAGCGGAACTTTCTGACTAGTATTCCTATGAAATCTTTGAAGACACCATTTGTCATCTTTTGCTCAACTTTTTAACATATCAAGTAGTATCCAACTGTTTCTCATTGTCATTTATATGTAAAGATCCGTATAATACAATTATGATTGCATTTTAGCAAAAAAAAAAAAAGGTACATGCCTTCTATTATCAGGAAAAAAAATATTTTTGCACATAACCATTGTGTCTTATTTTGCCTGAAAGACAGGCAATCTTTTTATTCAAATATTGTAACTTGATTCATCAATCTATGTTCGATGCCCACATGTCCTCTTGTACTATAATTTTAATCTATAAAAACACCTCAAGTCTTATGTGAGGTGAAGAGGATTTTTTTTTCTCTTTCTGTAACCCCAACTTTCTTCTCATTTCCTCCTTGATTCTCATTTTCTCTCCTTCCTTTGCTCCCCGGTCCTCATGCCCAAGTTCTCAGCCATCTTTAACTTCCTCTTGCAGTGGACTGGGGCTTCTAGACCACAGGCAGCCACAGAGACCATGGGTAAAGGACAGAAGCTGGGGCCCAGGAGGAACTAGATACACACACTAATCTCTCCAACACAGACCCCGGAATTAAAGATCAGTGGCGGTGTGGATAAAAGGGCAGTTCTTTTTCTTCTTACCATTTCCTGAGCTGTTACCGCAATGGCTTTAGAATATTTGACCACAGTCGTCTGGTAGTCGACGAATGTTCCCTTTGGCTCTGGAGGAGTGCCATCGTCCAGCTGGAGGAGGGGAAAGGAACCCAAAGGTCATCAGAGGCCAGTTGACATGTGGGCTGTACTTCCTGGAATGAGGAACTTTAAAGAGGAGAGGCCCTCAGAGTTTCTTTGGCCCAGAGTGAGCAGAATCCCGGGACTTTTGCAGTGGGGACTTCAGTAGAGGTGCCTGTAAGGCATTCGAGGAACACGGGCAAGGAGAGGCCCCAGCCCTGCCTGAGAGGAGTGGGAGGGCTTTCCAGAAGAAGGAGGTTTCAGCCAAGTCTTACCACAGGGAGGAGTCTGCTACATATATGAAGTGGGGATGTGTCCCAAGGAGCAGGAATGGAACCTGAGTATAAAGGTGGGAATGAGCTGCCCAATTGCAGGGAAGCACAGACTGACGGAAATGGGCTGGGAGAGGAGGCAGCACCTACATCAGAAAGGGTGTCTGTACCCTGGAACACTCACGTCTGATCTAACTCAGGAAAGAAGACATTGGAAGCACCAGATATAATTTGTTACTTGTCTGACTCTAAGTGCAACAGGAATTGAGAGAAGGGCGAGATCACTGTGGGATGGAAGGGTTAGAGAAGTGGAACAATGGCTCTGTTCCTTGAGGGGTTAGGGACATATTGGCTCAGAAGACTTGTATTCAAGACCTGGTTCCAGGGCTTGTGAATGGGCCTAAAGCTGGTTGCTTAAACTCTCAAGTCTCAGGTCCTTCACTGGAAACTTCTAAGCATCAGCAGGTTGTAATAAGATCAGCTGAGATTATACCCAGTCAAGAGCTACATGAAGGAAGAGGAATTGATGACGATGATAATGAAGATGATGATAATGTCAATGATGATTATGATGAAGAAAAAGGAAACCAACTTCGCCATCATCATTATCGTTACTGTCACCATTGTTTGCTGAATGATACTGAACAGGTGAGGAGACAAGGTGAATATACTAGCAAATAAAGGAAGAGTAAGAACAGTGAACAGAGAGGGCTGTTGAGAGTGGTGGGAATGAAGCTGGATCTACTTAATGAAGAACCTTGAAGTCATGAGAAAAATGGTGGCACTGGGGGTAGGCAATGACACAGCTGAGAAGAACGCTTTGGCAGCTCTGCCAGGTAACTTGTAGTCCGGGAAGAGATGAGGGGCCAAGAGGGTAATTAGAAAACTGTTAGATGAAGTCTTCAATAAGAGCTACACATGACTACCAGGCATAGGCCACAGTGTGAATCGAAGGAACGTATGGCTGTAGCCTATGTGTGATGGGTCTGCTCAGCCCAGGATCAATTTCCACCAAACCAGCAACACAGACTCCAGGCTAGCTAGCATTTTTTTTAGGTTTCTTTATCAGGGAGATCGATGCTGCCAAATAGCTCCATCACACCATGGGAGCCTTGAAGGTCAGATGAGAATTGAGTTGTGGACTCATACACTCAGTATAAACTGACTGGGTATCTACTTCATGTCAGGCTATGTGTGAGAGCCTTCATATGAGGTGTGGCATAGCTGCATACACTCCAGAAGGTTGGAGCTAGAGGGTAACTTAGACACGGGGCCACCGGCCACCAAGATGAACCTTCTACCAGCTTGAAGACAATGATAAAAGAACAAAAGGATGAATTTAGTTGAAAGAACTTTGCTTTATTCTGAGATCATAGCTTTCCTACTTTTTAAAAATGTTAACATGACCTTTCTTTTATGAGACAATAGTGATGTAAATAGCAATATTTTTGTTTGTTTTGTTTCTTTAGTTTTTTTTCTTGGCCACCCCTCCTCCCAAAATACAACTCACCAAGCAAACAAAGAAAGAGTATTGGGTCACAAATCCCAAAGGTTGAGAACTAATGTCACTGAATGGGGAAACCAAGGTTCAGAGAGCCTGAGTGATCTGTCCAAGGTCACCCATAAAGCTGCTCACTTCCTGTTAACCTCCCAAGGCTTGACTACAGAGAGAAGCTCCATAGCAGAAGCCTCAAAAGTGTCAAGAATGGCATCCAAGTTAGAATCAACTTTGGGTACATTCACATTTTTCTGCCAGTAACTGTCTTTGAGAATTCTAGACAAGGATTCTGAAAGTATATCAACATTTTAACCAAATAACTGAAACTCAGGAAATGCCAGATTTCTAATACCTCGCTTTAGGGAGGAGTTCAAAGGACCTGAAGCGCCACTTACCCCCAAGTCCCCAGCACAGGCAGGCTGGGGTGGGCTGAGCAAGGGGAGAATGGGGAAGAGGCACTGTATAGTCCACCTTGGCTGTCAGGTCTGAGTAGATGAGAAATTAGGGGTATTAATGAAACCCCAATTGTATACTTTACAAAACTGAGGGGGGAGGGGGGAGGTGGAAACCTATGTTCCTGGCCTCTGTGAGCCACAGCATTCCCTATCAGGCACACCAGACTTCCTTCCCAGCCCTCACACAAGAAGCTACACCACTGACATCAGATTGCACAGCACAGCTTTCCATATTGAAAATCCACCCCAGCCTGCAGGGCTCAAAGGCTATCAAGAAAGGACTTCAGGAACCTGACTTCTACCCTCCAGGGATTTATGAAACTTCCCCATCATTACAGTGGCTCTGAAAAACACCTTCTCCTGAGAAGAAAAAGATTATCGCTTGGATTTCTAATTTGTACTGAGAAAGCTTGAGCGCCATCATTTAATACCCTTGGTGGACACATGGCTATTTTCAAAGCTCGGGTATTCTGATGTCCTGAAAACCAAACAAACCCACTGAGATTCACCCGAGGGCCTTGAAAAGGAGGGGGATTTCACTCTTTTCTGCCAAACCGTCTGTATCTGAAGCATGAGAAGCCCACAGCAGAAATTACTGGAGTGCTTTAACACGGCAAAGCCTGGAGTCTCGCAAGGGAGCCCCAGCATCCCTGCCCGGCTTGTGACTTCATCCATCTGATAATGACTGCATAATGTTGAAGGGAATTATCCTAATTATAGTTTTAGGCTATCATCTATTTATGGAGATAGGAACCAACCCATCTTCTCTAAATTAGCAATTAAAGACTGCTTATTATCCTGAAAATCCACAAGAATGTATTCACAATCTGACAATGGACATTTCAAAACACAGGCGATGTCTAAAAGTCTTGGCTATGCTATCATAGGGTAGCAATTAGATGTTTATGAACAATAGTCACTTCTAATGAATATCAAGCTGACGTGACTAATGAGGATTCCTTGGGGGAAAGAGCAGGAGATACAGAGTGGAAGCTGTCTCCAGTCATATTTCCTTACTGACCCAACTCAATTGATGGGTCACTAGAAGAAAAATGATACTCATGGGGCCTTCTCTATCTACTTCCTGCAAGACTTCAAGAAGGGCTTTTAGGCATATTACTTTAGTGGTTTCTGCAGCTGGCTAGATTTTAAAAATCTGGAGAGATTTAAAAATTACAAATAGAGATCCACAGCCTCCACCCCATAGAGATCCCAGCTGAGCAGGACTGGGGAAGGGCCCAGGAATGTTCTGTCTAAAATGATCCCAGTGGTTCCAAAGTGGCCATTCCAAAGACCTGCACTTGGCAATCACTGCATTATTTCACTGGGAGTTTGTTCTCTACAACAACAGTATGAGGTAGGCAAGGGAGGTGGATAATTATTTCCATTTTATAAGTGAAGTAACCAAGGATGCCTTCTGCACCTCCATTTCCCCCCATGTAGAACTGGAAGGAAGGGTACAACTGGCTTACCAAAGTCATCAACGAACAGTGAAGAATGAATACTATGTTGAACATATGATAAGGCACCTGTACACTAATCAGAACCCTCAAGAAAAGAGAGAAGGTGCTCCTTAGAGAAAAGCCCTTGGGGACCAGGTCTGAGGGAAACCTTGGAGGAACTAGGGTCAGGGAGTGAAGGAGAGTGATGGGAGCCCAGGCCCACCTTGCTCATGGCCTCTGCAATGGCGTCGACCATGCCGCCCACCAGCCCCACTTCACTGGCAGCTTCGTTCAGCGTCACCATGATGTCGTCCACAGCCTCCTTCATGAGCTGGGCGGCCTCCGTGATGGCATCGTGGGTGTGCTGCGCCTGAGGAGGGAAGGGGGAAAGAAAGTTGTGAATTGTCTCCTTTAGCAGAAGAATGGTGCTCGGTCTCTAAGAGCCACTTCGTGTCTTTTAAGAGTAATTATAAAAAGCAGAATACAAAACTACATCCCATTATGGCACACAGCAATGTGTCCTATCTTTTTCCTTTATGACATTACACATTGGTTTTCAAAATAAATGAAAGTCAGAAAAACTAACAGAAAAATCTCTCTCTATAATCCCAAAGAAACATTAAAATGCAATATTAAGCAGTGCCTATGACAGGACTAATTTTACATTACTATGTTCAGGGTGGGAGAGAAAGCCACAAATCTCCAAATACAACTTGGCAGAGTGAATTTAAAAAAGCTAATATAAGAGAAAAAAATGTGTTCAATTCAAATACACTTCTCTTCTAAGCTCCCCACCACAGTATAATTCTCTTTTCACCGATGAGATTGCTTTATGGAAATGCAGGTCCATACAGGAGGCATCAATCTGTAGAAGACATGACAGGTTTTGGAACTCTGTCACAAACTGCATCGCCATGAGGTGGGAGAAATGAATGAGGGAAGTTCTCCAGGGACAGACACTCTGCAGGCAGCACCCAGCGTGTTCATGAGTTTCCCTACATAGAAACTTGGAGATGCTTTGTAACTGTAGGTGTTTAACCTGTATGTCAAAAACATAGTAGGAGAGAGATACATGAGTGCAAGAAAGGATGAAACAATGATGGGTGCTGTGCTCTCTGAAATGGCAGCAAGATGATAGGGGCAAGAGCCAAGGTCCTGGCTCCACTGTTAACTAGCTAAGTGGTCCCAAGCCTGGCTCCCGAGGCACAGTGGGAATGATAACAACGCTATGCAGTTGAATTCTGATGAGATCATATGTTGCAGGCACCTTATCATTTCCAGTGAGAGTGGTCTAGTTGGGGCCTGTGCCCATCACTGGGAAATCTGACCTAATGCCAGGTGGTTAGTGTCAGAACTGTATTGCCCCCAAGCACTGCATGTTGTGGTTGTCCTGGCCCACTCAGGGGGAGGCGACCCTATCAAAAGGTTCAAGAAATCACATCTTTACTTTGGTAGATGAGAAGGTAAACCAGTAAGAGATGGTAAATGACAACTCTTTTGAGTAACTTACATAAAAGGGAATTCCGAGAAGAGGGTATGATTGAAAAGCCGTGGGAACCAAGAACATATTTCACATCTGCCAAGATCAGATCTGATCACATTTGGTATCCTTGAGGCAACTGTGTCAGACGTAAATGGTAATTATTGACCATCATACTCAAATTGCTTTAGAAGATAATAATGAAAAATAACCTTGAGGAACAAAGATTCCTTTACTCTTTACCAGACTGGTGCTCACCTTTTCTATTTTTCAGGCCCTCCGTGGGGACAGGGAGGCAGTCTCTCTCTCTCTCTCTCTCTCTCAACTTATGTCCCTGTTCTCTCTCTCTCTCTCTCTCTCTCTCTCTCTCTCTCTCTCTCTCATGTCCCCGTCCCCCTAGCATGGAGTCCTGGCTGCTGCTGGCTGTCCTTCTCACAGGTCCACTCTCTCACGCTCTGTCTGCAGTGACTGATTCTGTTCACCGTATCCCTCCTCCCATCCATCCACATCCAGGCACCAGACTGCAGAGTGACTGAACCTCAGGTCATTCGAGCCTCAGCCACCATCTGGCTGCACTGGCAGAGGGCTCTTGCTGAGCTCCATGAATCTGCAGGCCCACCAGAGACAGTACTAAAATGGTGTCTTAAGCCATTGAATTGTAGAATGGCTTGTTTACAGCAATAGCTAACTGGTATGGCCCCTAGGAAGGGCTCCAGTTCACAGTTTCCAAAATTGCTCCCTAGAGCTCCCCAGGGCCCAGCCTGAATATGTGTTCCAACCCCAACGGTCAAATATTTGGCTGGTCTTTGTTCCAGGTTCCTTGGAGGGAGCCTCCAAGCCCTCAGCATTTCCTGAGTGGTAGGAGGGTCTCTGTCATTGGGGGGAGAGGGGGGCTCCTTGATGGTGAACCCTGGAGAAAGAGTCCAGGCCTGAGCAGAATTGATGGAGTGAGAGAGAAAGGGAGCCTCCCAGGCAGAGGCCACAGCCTGTGAAAGGCCCAGAGGTGAGAGGAATGTGGGCTGTGAAGACGAGGTGAAGCACCATATGTAAAGTGCCTGGCACACGGCTCCTGCGCCTTCTGTCATCGCTCACCCACTCCAGCTGATCTCTCCAACTAGACCAACGTGTGCTTCTTGCAGACAGTTGACTCTGCTTCTCTTTGGAAGCACAGTGTTCACAGGAGATGAAGGGCCTGGTGGGGTCACCAGGTGGAGCTAAGTAACTGATAGTTTTCTATTCAGAGAAGTTTTACAAGGATAACCTTCACAGGCTGCTGGTGCAAAGCTCTCTGGAGAGGCTCATTTAAAGAGAAATGAAACCATCTGTTTTTAGCTGTGAGGTAGGCATGGTGGCCAGCAGAGGGTAGAGACCTGGCTTAGGGGAAGTCAGATCAGGCTGGCCCTCCCTTCCCAGCCCTGAGCCACCGACTGCACTCAGGCCGCAGTGACATCCTCTAGCTCCTGCCTGGACCAAGAACACTGACGACATGCATGCAGATGCTGGCAAGATGCCAAGGGCTCTCTGTCCTTTATACAACACAGAGCCAACCTGTGGCCCAACGCAACGTTCGTACCAGTTTAAAATCTATGTTCTTGTATCTGGGGTCAGATGTTTTAGCATTTTACCGTGGGGAGCCAGGAACAATAAATGTCAAACCACATAACAGCAGCAATGGTGAGGACAGCATAGCATTCGGGGGGCCTCCCGGCTGCTGTGCTCATCTCCTCTAACCCTCACTACCCCCTGGAAGGCAGGACTCCACGGCATCCCTGCCAGGGAACACTGACAGTCACAGTCTGGCAATGCAAGCTTATACCCTAGAGCAGCCGTGGGCAAACTACGGCCCTTGGGCCGTTTGAAATGAATAAAACTAAAAAAAAAAAAAAAAAAAAAAGACCGTACCCTTTTATGTAATGATGTTTACTTTGAATTTATATTAGTTCACACAAACACTCCATCCATGCTTTTGTTCCGGCCCTCCGGTCCAGTTTAAGAACCCATTGTGGCCCTCGAGTCAAAAAGTTTGCCCACCCCTGCCCTAGAGCTTAGAGACCTGGTGCATGACACCTGGAACTGACCAGCTGGCTATTTGCTGAACTTATATGTCACAGGTCAAAAGGAAGATGAGCATATGGCTAGATCAGATCAAACTTCTCAGGGCTACTGGAAAAATGAACCTTAATGGAGGGAATATGCCATCTCCAAGAGGGAGGTGGCAGCCTGTTCCTCCAAACAGGGGGCTTTTAAACAAGGCAAAGTCACCCAGGTGCACGTGACCCAGGCAAGGGGCCTCTGGACTTGCTACCACTCCTCGAAGCTGGCTGGGCCGCCCTCCCTCAATGCCCTCCTCTGCATTTCAGCATCAACCTGGCCCGGGCTCTCTCAGGTCTACCTGTCACGATGGGCTCCACACATGCCAAGAACTTGTTGCCAGTTCACAGTTTCCAAATTTGCTCCCTAGAGCTCCCCAGGGCCCAGCCTGAATATGTGTTCCAACCCCAACTCCGATATGAACAGTAAAATGTTTGGCTGGTCTTTGTTCTAGTTTCTCAGAAGGAAACTCCAAGCCCTCAGCATTTCCTGAGTGGCAGGAGGGTCTCTGTCATTCGTGGTGGGCTCCTCAGATCACTCATTACTTTAGGCCAGTGGTCGGCAAACTCATTAGTCAACAGAGCCAAATATCAACAGTACAACGACTGAAATTTCTTTTGAGAGCCACATTTTTTAAACTTAAACTATATAGGTAGGTACATTGTTATTAACTTAATTAGGGTACTCCTAAGGCTTAGGAAGAGCCACACTCAAGGGGCCAAAGAGCCGCATGTGGCTCGCGAACCGCAGTTTGCCGACCATGGCTTTAGGCTAACAAGGTGGCTCATTAAATGAGAGAGAAGAATCCTAAGAAGAGGCCCCTAAGTAGTTTTAAGATAAGGGCTGGCCATGCTGGAAAGATCAACCATGTGATTAGAGGGTTGGGACTTTGAGCAACATAATATTAGCCTGACCTCTATCTGACCTCTAGGGAGATGAGAGGACTAAAGATGGAGTCACTGATCATATGACTGAACTCAATCCACCAAGCCTATGGCATGAAATCCCAGTAGCAGCTATGGACGGTGAAGGTAGAGTGAGCTTCCCTGGTTGGTGATGCACATCAGTATTATGTCAAGGTGACATCTGAGGACATGGGAGCTTCATGTGTGGGACCCTTCTGGCCCTCCTTCTCTCCTTTTGGCTGGTTTTCACCCTTTTTTAAGTGGAGCCATTTCCTGAGTTCTATGAATCATCTTAGCAAATTATAGAACCTCCTGAGAACTCCTGAGTTTGTAGCCAGTGGGTCAGCATGAGTGGCCCAGGAACCTGGAGCTACGGCTCTGTCTGCACTGAGGTGAGTCTAGCAGGATCCTGTGCCCGTAACCTGGGAAATCTGACCTAATGCCAGGTAGTTCCATCAGAATCACAGAGCAGCCAGGCACTGGGTCCCCCAGGCAGTGGCCATGCTGCCCTGACTCTCCTCAGGGAGAGATGACCCTTCTAAAAGGCCTAAGAAATTGCACTGTTACTTAGGGAGGAAGTAGGTAAAAAGCCGGGAAGAGATGGTAAATCTTTGGAGGGATTGAATAAATGAAAGGGAAGATTCCTAAGAAGAAGCTGTGTGAGCCATAGGAACTGGCCCTGTCTGCAGAATCAAAAAGCCATGGGAATGCAGAAGAGTTCTCAAACATGTCATCTGACAGATGTGAAATATTCAGATCACGATGGTTGTCCTTGAGTCAACGGTGTCAGGATGAGCAGCTCTCTCTCAGGGATGCAAAGAGGAAACTGGTCCGTCAGGGTGACTGCTGATTTCATGGCACAGAGTCGGTAAAGCACAAATGTGCAGATCTCAACTTTGGGAGGACAAAAACAACCAGCAACTAGAACTGCCCAACAATGGATAGGCTGTGTTTGCTGAGTGCTGGAGGCAGAGCTGCAGGGGCCTTTCAAGGAGGTTGTGGGAGGGAACCTGGGGGGTAGGCATGAGTGCAGCGGGCTCTGTGGCGTGAGGTTACACAGCAATGCCTATAATCACATCAGGCGCTGGGGCAGCCACCTTTTTTTTTTTTAAACATATAATGTGTCAGGCGCATTATCTCACGTAATCTCTACAACTACCCTAGAGAGACACGCATTATTAAATCCATTATTTAGATGAGGAAACAAAGAAATGAAGTAATTTGCTAGCAAGAGGCAGAGCTGGGATTTGAATCCAATTATGTCACAACCCAGAGCCAGTGCTATTTTTCACCAAATCCAAGCTACTGATAACTATTTAACCACATTTCCTCTGCAAACAGAGACATGCATACACACATACATATAACATATAACACAGACATATACATGCACACACATCACCTAACACATAGTATATATCTGTCCCCAGACTGGCTCCTGAGGTAATTACGTCAATGCATGGAGCCTCTTAGGAAAGGGCCTAAAACCAACTTGAAGTGTCCCAGGCATCCTCTGTGACAAACCTGCCGGGGTTTGCAGACAAAGCACAGGTGGAATGACATCACCGAGGGGACAGACATAAACACCTGTCTTGCCTTTACTCATCTTAGCTCATCCTCCAATGCATCAGGTCATTCACTGGAAAGTACTCTACACTGGCCCCCAGCCACCATTTCTACACAGATGTCATTGTAAAGCTTACAGTGCTGACTGTAAATGCTCTCAAACGCGAGGTTCCCTGGTATAAATGGAATTCCATGAGTCCTGGACTTGCAGTCCAAGCAGATGTGCTAATAACCTTAAAGATCCAGAACACTCCTGGTGTGAATTATTCTGCTGAGAATGAACTCTCCAGGCAGGAGTGGAGAGGCATGGCAGCAAACAGTCCTGGATAAAAGACAACCCAGAAGTGGGTCTTGAAGGTGAGTCCTGGCTCCTGCAGTTTAGGGAGGGTGCAAAGGGGGTTGGCCCGGCTCTGGGGCACCTACCACTCACTAACCCCACACAATCAAAAGGGTGTTCTTGTTGCTCTAGCCCACGGCTTCAGCAACTGGACTTATTTTTTCAGAAGGCTCAGAACAACATGAGGGCAGTGGCTGACTCTTAATATTTTTATTTTACTTTTTAAAAAAATATTTTTATGGATTTCAGAAAGGACGGGAGAGGGAGATAGAGAGATAGAAACATCAATGATGAGAGAGAATCACTGACCAGCTGCCTCCTGCACTCCTGCAACACAGGCATGTGCCCTGACTGGGAATCGAACCATGACATCCTGGTTTATAGGTTGACGCTCAACCACTGAGCTACGCTGGCCAGGCAAGACTCTTAATATTTTTAGCATTCCCAGAATTAGGTTCTTAATAGGTGCCAGATACATGAATGAAAAACTGAATAAAGACTAATACATTATTCATGTGTCTACCAGAATGGTGTTCCTAAGCTACGGAGGGGCTGTGTCATTCATTCCCCGCTGCGCACCACGAAGCCCCACTCCTCAGTAAGGAGGAGGAAGGCTGTCACAACACAGCCCAGTCTACCCTCCCACCCAGTTGCCCACACTCTGCATCCTCCACCGTGTCAGACTGCACGCTATTTCCTAAGCCATCGGAACTCTTCTATAACCCCATCCATGCCTTTGCATATGCTCCTCCCTCCTTTGAACACTCCCTCCCTCATATGCGCCGGGGAATTTCCTTTTTCTGAGACCAACCAGCCCCATGTCCCCACTTTCCTACAATGGTGCCTGACCTCTCTCTAGTCTTTGCTTTGGGCAGAGCCGGCCTGTTATCCTCAGGGCACAGGCTCCGTCCTGACGCCACCTCACCCCTCGTGACCTCGGACACCTTACCTCAGCACTCTCCGTCTCCCTTTCCATGTGAATGGGAACCTTCCTACTTCACAGAACATTTATGAATAAATAAGATGAGGACATAAGGTATAATAGGTGACAGTCGGCATTCAATCACTGTTTGCTCTGATTACTATTTTACAAATCTCTCTCTTTTTCAAAAAATTTTTTTCTATTGATTCCAAAGAGAGGAAGGAAGGGAAAGAAGGGAGGAGGGAGAGAAGGAAAGAGAGAGAGGTTCCATTTGCAAATGAGTAAGGGAGATTTTCATATTACACTACTGCCCCTGAGGCAAAAGCAACACATGCCATGGGTGACCGCAAACCAGGGTTCGCACTGAACTTGAGTGCCAGGAACGGAAACAACATCCACTGGGAAACAGCAGAGCCTTGCTCTGTGGAAGCTGGTGTCAGCACTGAGCCGGCGCTGGCGGTATTACAGCTATTCCTGTAGGAACCACATCCTATGTCTTTCTTTCCCAGGGACACTGCCTACACACTTATAAATATGCATTAAACATGTATATTTCTTGTCTTAAAGAGCTCCTGGAAGGCCAATGGAAGATTACTTCCCACCTCCGAGTGGGAAATCAAATGCCACCAACTAGGAACTGGAGGTGTTTTCCCCGGAGAGATGCAACACGGAGGAACACAATGGCTTCTCAGTGGCCCCGAGTCCCCGGAACCCTGATCTGTACCTTGGGGTTCCCTCCACCTTCTTTGGCTGCGTACAGCATCTGCAGGGCAGACTCTGCGAGTGTCTTGGTCTGGTCCAGCACCGTCATCTGCTGCTGATGGTCCAGAATCTTGGAGGCAACACCAACCGCTGCTAAGATCAAGGGCTCAAAGTAGCTTGCCAGCTGTGTCACCTTTCAAGACAAAAGGGCCACAGATGCATCATGTAAATACACGTGTCTCCTTTCAGGGCCCAGCTGGTGGGGCGGGGGCTGGGACAGGGTAGGATGACTCACAGGGAGAGGAGATCTGCTGAGCTTTAAGTTTTTTCTTTCTAGTATGCAATCCAGTATCATGAATTATAGTCACCATGTTATACTCAGATCCTCAGATCTGATTCATTCATTGCTCAATTTTATTTTTGAAAGAACTTGCTGATCACAGACCCTTGCTCGGGCTTTCCTTCCTCTGAGAGCTCACTGTCTCATCGCTCATCAGGGCAGGAGTACTAGGAAATCCCTTCTGAGATCCAGAGTTAGGGGTGAGGATTTTACCAATTTTAATTTAAATTTCACACTGAGCAGGTCCTGGCAGGCATTACAGGTATTCCTGTATTCACAAGCAAAAAAGCTCTGGAAAGAACCAAAGACCAAGAAGGAAGGGGCAGGGGAGCAGGGCATGAGAAAAGACGGAGAGGAAAGGCACACAGATGCCAATCCAACTGCCCTCTGCCCTGAGCATTTAGACCAAACTGTGAATTTGGAATAAAAGCAAAAGTGATTTCACATCACCTAGATGTTCTGTTTATGATCAGCGGAAGGTTTTTGAAGGGATGTGCTTTTCCCTGTATTTAGGGAGCTAACACCTTCTGTTCTTGAGAGATATGATAGGATAGGAAACATCTCACCTGGGCCAGCACAGAAGTCAAAATAACAGAATTTTGAGTGCTTAGTACATGATGTTGATCCCCTAGGCCAGTGGTCGGCAAACTGCGGCTCGCGAGCCACATGCGGCTCTTTGGCCCCTTGAGTGTGGCTCTTCCACAAAATACCGACTTCTGCGCTGTACGTGTGCGCCCGCACGTGGTATTTTGTGGAAGAGCCACACTCAAGAGGCCAAAGAGCCGCATGTGGCTCGTGAGCCGCAATTTGCCAACCACTGGCCTAGACCTAAGGTGGCAGAGAAGGTTGAATGGTGGCCCCCCCCACCCAGAGCAAAGACCCCTTGGAAAAGGGGTCTTTGTAGATACACTTAAGGATCTTAAGATGAGATCTTCCTGGGTTACTCAAGTGGGCCCCAAGTCTGGTTACAACTATCCTTATAAGAGACAATAAGGAAAGACAAACGGAAGAGCAGGGGACAGTGTGACCACAGAAGCAGAAGTGGCATGATGCAGTCAAGGAATGCCAGGGAATGCCAAGGGCCACCAGGAGCAGGAAGAGGCAAAGGACTGGCCTTGTCTGGACTTCTGGCCTCCAGAACAGTGAGAGATCAAATCTCTGTGCTTTCAAGCCACCCAGTGTGCAGTCACTTGTTACAGCAGCCACGGGAAACTCATACAGGTGGGGCCTGAGAACTTGCACTTAGCATCCCCAGGTGACGCTGAAACTGCCCTGGGGCTCCACCTGAGCACTGTCATGAAGCATGGGAACCAGGTGGGTACCACTCTCAGCCCACGGCTCCTCTGGATCGATGGCCCCTGGGCTGCCTTTGTCCAGACTCCCTCTTAGAAAGTCAGATGGGCCACAGATGCATCATGCAAATACCAAAGGGCCAAGAATAAAATGTGTAACTTAAGGGAGGCAAATAGATGATGCTTTTGATGCCAGCCACCAGCAAGGGAATCAATCTTCCTTACTAATATATTGGCCGAGACTAGGCTGTTGCCCTAGAAGTCTAAAAATATTTTCTGATGAAATTCCTGCTGGGATAAAATGTAACTGCTGAGTATGGCTTCTCTGCCACATGGTTTCCCCTCAGCCTGCACACGAGTGGCGGCTCCTGCCTCGGGGCGGTCTCCCCACCTCGCACACCCCTGCCCACAGGAGGATGAGCCCCTCTCTTACTATCAAGGACCTCCACTGAGAAATAAGACTTGCCACACTGGAAAAGGTAGAGACACTGACCATTTTAAATCTCAAAACCCACTCCTTACAACACCAGCAGCAAGCTTACTCAGCTCTTAAACGGTTCTGTAATTTAAAAAAAGCAAGAATATTGATTTCCTAAAATCGATACCCACGGAGACGGTTCTGGCTCCTGGATTTCTGATGTGCGCGTCGATACCGACGGCTGCACTGATAAATGCGAGGAAGCCCGAAGGTTGTTAAAAATCCAATTTCTGCCCTCTGTCTGCCGAGGCACAGGCTGCTCGACGAGCCAACTATCCTTGAAGGATTTGCAAAATGAACTCCAAACAGGCCAAGCGTGATTCACCACTTACAACAACGCGGGTGGAAGCGCCCCTCAGAGGTGGCCACGAAGGAGGCCTGAGTTGTCCAGAGTGAAGTGTGCACGTTTGCTCTGCTTTCTCAGGTGTAGAAACAGACACGATGTTTGCGGCCATGGAGGAACAATGGACCCCTAACACTCATGAGAAGGAGGCCGGCCAGCCAGGGACCAGAGGTGGGTGGCAGACACCAGGCCAGGAATGTCAGCTTCAGTTCTGGTGAATCTCAGCCAAGGCCCAGAGCCACGGGTGACTCTAAACGCCTCATGGGCTGAAAAGTCTGACCACAACCAGAATCATTTCCCTGCAGTTTTTGTCTCAACTCCAGGTGAAAACAGACCCTGAAGGGGGCATTTTTGGAGAAGATGCTGCCAAGAGGGAGGTTGAGGGCTATTTCCCACCATTTAAGGCAGCACGGACCCAGGCACAGTAGCTGACACAGGATTTGGGGAACAAAAACAAATCAATACTCCCCCCCGCCCCCGCCACCTCTCTCTCATGAGCATTCCCAGCAGGCTCCCCTGGGTGCGCATTACCTTATGTCCGAGCTGAGCTGCTTCTCCCCGAGCCGCTGTGGCGATGGGATCGATAAGGTGCCCGATTTCCTGGACCACTGAGGTCAGCTGCTCCTGCAGGGCCTGAGAGGAGGGAGAGCTGTCAAGGTCGCCCCACAATGGTTCCTCCCATAGACACCGATTTAGAAAGGCCCGTGTGAATGACAGGGGAGGCCACAAGAATGGACCTCGAAACGCCTGGGTGTGCCATCAAGCTGCTGCTCCACCTCCCCTTCCCAGGCGCCCTCAGCTCCTCTGGGCTAGGAACCCCCTCTCCAAGCGGCACCGTGAGTGACATAGGCAGGCCTGCGCAACACCGTTCCTACAGGCTTCTCACTCCCACCAGCCGCAGTGACAGCTGATGCCACTGGTGCCTTTACACTGGGTTATTCAGCATTGTTGCTGGAAATGTGGATGCGCCATGGCTTTCTCAGAAGAGAAGACAACTTTGTCCAAATGGAGAAAGCTAACAGTGGGTCTGAGGGACCAGCCAGGTCGTTGTGTCCAGGGGGTAGGAGAGAGGAGGGTGATGTAAACATGACGCCACCTCTCTGAAGCAGGACGATTTCTCAAACACCACACTGTGCAAATGCCAGGGGAGAGGCCCACCGAGCACACAGCTCAGGCTTTCAGTTCACTGAGTTTGGTGATGAGGACACAGTAGCTGAAAATGGCATTCTCGAGGCATTTCTTCTCCAGTCTGAGAGAGGGTTGAATCTCTCCATCCCAGAGAATTGAACTCATGCTAGAAAGAGACAGGGTACGCTATTCTAGGTGATGCTGGAGTGCAAGGGGGTGGGGGATTCAAAGGTGGAGATCGTTAGCTGGCAGCAGGAGAGATCAGGTCCTTTCGCAGGAATCCTCACAGGAACTTTGCTTGATAGAGTCAGGGTTTAATCCATCATAGCACTGGATGGTTTGGCTTTGCACACACCGGCATGGAATGGGTGCAACTCGTGGCCAGGTAACCGTGTCCTGCTCCTCAGAAATGAGACTCAGTGCTTTCCCACTGAACATGCTGCATGCGGGCTGGGAGCTCTGGGCAGAGTGCAGTCAATGAGGAGAGCAGCCTACCATGCAAACTTGAAAACAAAATCGTGGGGGGTGGGCAGGGGAAAGGAAAAGAGATGGGGGAGGGAGGAGAGAAAGCTCCAAATTTTCCAAGGTTTATTTAGCTAATTATTTATCTTCTCACTTATGTGACTATGGTCAAGAGTGCAAGAATATTCCAGCAACGCTGTCTTGCTAAAGAAAACATGGTGTAAGTAGGAGCGCATGCAGCTAAAGGGGAGGATGTTCTTCCCAGGGAGGAAGATGGAGGATGTGCATGGGCGGGAAGGGAAAAGGGTGGGGCCTGAGGGAGCTTCTGAGGGACTGGTCACCTTTGTTTCTTGGTCAGGATGCTGGTTAAAGGGTGTGCTGAGCTGGTGATGATTCATGTAGCTGCACACTTACGATACTTTTCTGTATGCATATTCTACTTGAATTAACACATTAACAATACTTCTAATGCTCATTCCTTCTTTCTTTCTTTGGAAATGGGGGTGGTCACGCGAAGCTGAGGTGAAACAGCTCTAGTAATAAAAATGAGCAACATCAGCTCTGGGCCCGCTCCTTGGAGACAAGGGCCATGGTGCCTTGCTGATGAATTCAGAGTGGCAGTAAGAGAAACATCAGTAATGAGACATCCATATTTATTAAGCACCTTCTGAGTGCAGGCACATTCAACAAAGAGGAAGAAGTATTACTCAGAAGTCTTTGGACAGGTAATGGAAAAAAAACTCAAAGGATCAAAGCAGGAAAATTCAATTCTCGACTTTAGAAAATTGGCAAGAAAAAGTAAAGTGGCTCTGAAATAATAACAGAATGTAAGAGGTCCTCAGATATTAGATATTGGGTAACATAGGGAAGACTGTTATCTCTGAATGCACCGAATGTACAGGATCTAAAGTGCACTGATGAAATATGACGAGAGAAAAGTTCACAGTGTACTGCTCAGGTCTGCTCTGCTGATGTGTTACACTGAATACGATAACTGACATATTCTTACCTGACTTTAATTTTAATTTTTCTTCAAACTTCAGGCCACCTCTGAACCCCCATCCTCCACTCAGCATTTACCCTACCCCATCCAAAACCTCCCAGGTTGGTTCCACAGGGGAAGGTGGTTCAATGATGAAACTCCAGCATCACAAACATGTTGGCGCTATTCTCCCATCCCCCAAAGCCTGATACTGAGATTCTTCAGCACTTCCAGAGGCTTCTGAGCTGACCCCAGAGCCCGTGTACCTCCACAGAGATGTCGTCCCTCGTGGCCAAACTCTGGCTGACCGCTGCCAGGGAGGCCTGCTCGATGTCCCGGATGCACCGGTTGATGCCATCGATGGAGTAGTCACACTCCCTCTGTCCAGGGGCCTTGTCCCTGGAAGGGACAGAGGAAATTAAACACAGGCTCCTTGGGGGACAAGTCCCACAACCCACTCCTGCGTTGGTGATCCAGAGCCCCTCTCCATTTCCTGCCCCACTCAATTGCTTAATTTAAGGGGCCAAGCCCAGACACTTGCTTGGCAATGCCTTCCTGCACAGCCCATGCATTTCTTAATGTACCACTGGTGCTAACTCTACTTATTTCTGGTGAGAAAGCTATGGTGCTGCCCTCCACCTCAGGCAGATGCCAGGCAACTGCAAATGAAACGATTTGGACTTGGATTATCTTCCCTGGCTTAAGCATAGAACCTTACTTAAAGAGAAAAACAAATCAGTACTATTTCCAGTGCACCATATTATGCTCTCTACATTGCATACTATTCACAAAGTCCTGGGTTAGGGTAGAAATGAGCATATTTAGGGGACTTTTCTTTGCAAGGCATTAAGAGAATTAACTGTGGTCCTGAGCTTCAAAAGTAATTGAAAAACAAAATATAACTAACACAAGGGATGCATTCCATGATGTGAGATATTAACTTTGGTCCATTTTAGAAATGGTATATCTACTCAGGGGATATTTTTTCAGGCTCCTACTATCACCAATAAGGTCAGAGATGCCCAGAGTTACTGTGATACCTAGAATATTCTTTTTGTCTTATTAGCAAAACAGTGGTGCTCTCTGCCTAAACTCTCAGGAACAGACACATGAAGTATGGTGGTTAGAGCCATCAGGCGGGGGATGACCATGGGAATGTTACCTAAATCCTTTCTGCCTCAATGATCTCCTTGGTAAAATGGAGACAATGGCAGTATTTACCTGACAAGGTTGTTGTGATAATCAAATAACATAGGTTAAATGCTTGGAACAGTATCTGACATAAATTAGCTATTATAACTGTGACCAGTGCTACTACTGATCTCAAAGAGAGAAAGAAAAAGATGATCACATCAACCACCTTGCTGTTAAATGCAAGTCCTGATAGGCTATTTCCTCCTGCTCTGTTCAGATGCAGGTCCCTAGTGATTTCTGGAGGCGAAACTAACCTGATAGATGTGATGAGACTCTTGATGGAGTCAGACACAGTGTGGGAATGTCCGGCTAGCACAGACCAGGTGGGTGGGTCTTTGGGGTTGATGGCCAGTGAGCGTGCAGTGCGGATGAGGTATGATGAGCTCTCCAGCATGGTCTTGGCTGAGACCAGGATCGGTTCCTGTGCCTGAGAGCCCTGGGACCAAACAGCAGAAGGGTCAAGAACAGGGTGTACAGAGTGAATGGTCCTGTTCTTTACCAATTCATCGTCTTTGTCCTTTGGAAGGAGACACAGAGGGTAGGGAACCAGGGAGGCTGGCTCACACAGGGCCTTGATGGTGAGAACTTGGGTCCACATTTGCTCCTTATATTTAATTTCTGAGGGTGACACATACCAAGAATCAGCCCCAAACCTATGCACAGAGATTGTTCCCAACATGTAGAGCCAAGGCATTACCTCTGAAGAGATGTGCAGACATTGAGTTTCGTTAACTCTGTGCATCATCAACAATAACAATGCCTACGTGTTGACAGAGAGAAACTTTGGAGTTCTTAACTGTTTGTGCTCATTTAGTGCCACACAAAACCAGCCGAAGATGCCGACATCACCTTCGCTGCAAAGACTCCCTACCTCGGAGCTGATCTGGGCGGGAATGCTGACAAACTCAGGGTTGGATGCGAATGCGGTCAGGTTCTCCACGGCTTCGATCAAGGGGGCGGTGGCAATGCGACACTTATTGCGGTTGTCTTCAGAGAAATCCCCGTCCAGGGCCTGATGGGAGGCAACACGGAGACTTTACCCCACTGAGAGGCACAGGTTATTCCTGGGCCCCGGTAATCACCTCCCAGCGAAAGAAGGTGGCTTACAAGATGTGGGAATACAAGATGTTCGGTGAGCTCATGAGTAACAAATAAGAACTAATGAGAGAAATGGCTGCCATCCAGCAGAGGGGCTCAGTTAGCGATGATAAGAAATGAAGCTGAATGTGTGGCTCACAGGACAGCTGACCTCACAGAACATCACTTCCCACTCACACACAGCAGAAATGGATTCAAAGAACGCCCTGCCCGTCACCCCCAGACCCTGCAGCTCAACCCCTTTCCTCCCCACTTTGGACACTATAACCCCTGGGTTCTTCCCCTCCATTCTCTCTCCAATCAGGTCTGTTCCCTCCCAAACTATAAAAATACTTTACATTGTGCAGCACTTTCAATCGTTTCTAAGTTTTACCTCAGTGTCCCTGGCTGGCTGATGGAAGTAGGGCTTGCATATCAGCCATTCTGAAATGAGCAAATAGACTAGAACTACCCTCAACAATATGGACAAATCTCATAAACATATTTAGTTAAAGAGGCCAGACACAAAAGGTACCTACTGTATGATTCCATTTGTGCAAAGTACAGTAACAGGTGAAGCTGATTTAGGGTGTGGGACCAGGAATGATTGAAGGCGTACCACAGAGACCCTGGGGGCTGGCCATGTCCTGTGTTTTAAACTGGCTGTAGTTACCCAGGTGTGCTCAGCGAGAGAAAACTCACTGGGCTCTACACACATGATTTGTGCTTTCTGTCTATGTATCTTATGCTTCAGTAGCATTTTCTTTTTTAAAATTAGCAGCAGGTAACACAATGGCATTAAGTGGTCAGTGACATTGCTGATTAATGACCCAGATGGATGAGAATCAGGAATGCAGCCTGTGGTCCATGCCACACAAAAGGTTAACACTGGAGTCAAGGCCCCGCAACCCAACTCCACCTGTTTAAGAAGAAGACTTGGAACCAAGAGCCTGCGACCCAGCGATAGCACCCCTGCCTCCCAGCGAACGGCTGCATCTGAGAAGGCACTTATGTTTGTAGGAGAACGTAAATTTTCTCATTAAACAACCAATTAAATTTTTAATTTTGTTATGAGCAATATGTAAACGCCAATTCAGACAATTAGTGAACAAAAAACCAGAGGCACCGGCATCAAGAAACCACGGGATTTGAGATGAGTACATCTCTATTTTTCACGAAGGCAGGAGCAGGCAGGCACGATCAGCTTGAAGGCTAGTTCTGAATAACAACTACATTCTAACCAAGCCTTGGCAGCTTGGGACAATAATTACACATCCACCAAGCTAACATTTTCAGAGGAATTCCCGAGAACCTGGCTCATTTACCATCGTTGCTAAAACTGTGCATGGCTTGCCTCAGTTCAAGCCCCTCCCCACCAGAAAAGCACTGACCTCTACCTTAACCTCCGACTCTGCCATTCTTCGGGGCCCAGTGGACACCGACATGCCCGCTACTTCTTGCTCACATATGTGGCCTCAGTTCTAACTGCCACTCGTGAACTCAGTGAACACCGACTTGGCGCCTGTTAGCACCACTGTGCCGGGCACTGGCAACGCAAAAGTAACCCTGGGGCTCTAATCTTGTTGCACTGACTCCCTGAGGTGAGGCTCCAGCAGGCTTCAGAGCAATTGGGCCCTGAGGTGAGGCTCCAGCAGGCTTCAGAGCAATTGGGAATACAGTGGGAGACAGGGCGGGTGCCACATTGCAGGAGCCTGGCAGGAGTGGCCTTGGCACAGGAAAACCAGGGAAGCAGGCGGGTGGCGGAAGTGGACTTTAGTGTCAAAGGAATTCAGGTCCCAGCACCGCCTTTGGCCAATCACACCCCCTCCGGCTGGGATGACATGGCTTCTAGCTGAACAGAAGATGACAGGCCTCCCCTTGTGCTGCTCACTCCTGCTTCTTACCTCCCCACACTCTTCCCACCCCCTGTGCAACCTTCCACAACCCTCTGGGCCTATTTGGAAGGCAGGCATCTGATTGAGTCAACCCGTAGTTAAACTTGCTAAAAATGAAAAGATGATTATCTGAGGGAAATCCTGAGAAATGTTTTTTAATTGTGCAGTTTCATAAACTGCACCAATAAGATGAAGGAAGAATTTATTTTTTGAGCATGGGCTCTAACATCACATATAATGTAGCACATCAGGACAAGACCTTGAATAACGTGGAGAACGCCAGCTACGTCACCTGCTTTTTTTCATTTTCAAAAAGGAAAAGCTATGCTATATAATAAAAGGCTAATATGCAAATTAACTGAATGGCACACTGATCACCAGAGGGCAGATGCTCAACGCAGGAGCTGCCCCCTGGTGGTCAGTGTGTTCCCACAGGGGGCACGCCACTCAGGCAGAAGCCGGGCTCACGGCTGGTGAGCACAGCGGAGGTGGTGGGAGCCTCTTCCGCCTCCACAGCAGTGCTAAGGATGTCCAACTGCCAACTTAAGCCCACTCCCCAGGAGGAGCAGGCCGAAGCCAGCAGTCAGACATCCCCCAAGGGCTCCCGGATTGCGAGAGGGCGCAGGTTAGGCTGAGGGACACCCCCGAGTGCACGAATTTTGTGCACCAGGCCTCTAGTTTCATATAAAGGAAGCACTTGTCATCAGAAAGGATAGCTCACAAAGATACTATTTCACTGTGAATGCTGCTCCCACCCTGGGGATGGCTCAGCCACCTAAGGGAGCTGCATACTCAGGCCTGCCCACTGGAGAAACTGCAGGCAGGCACAACAGCTTTCATGGAGACGTTCCCTGTCACAGAAGGTCAGTGTACCAGCCTTAACAATGAAAGGGTGACTTCACTTTAGGCTGCATAGGGACAGGGGGCTCTCGGCCCCTGGACCAGCTTCTCTGGACGTTCTCACTCGGCAGAACCGCTCAGGGAGCTGGGAGAAACGACGTCTGCAGGCGTGCCAGGTCACAGATTCAAGGCTGTGGGAGTCGGGAGAAACCTTACAGATCATTTAACCCCAGCTCTCCAAAGTCCCAGATGATAAAACCAACACCCAGAAAGTGACATGCTAAGCCAAGGTCCTGCCTCAAACCAGAACCCACAACCCCTGGCTGCCTTCTCTCCTACTGACCTTAGACAAAGGCGACAAGAATAGGAGTCAGAGAAGCCCAAGAGGTTTTGTTCCTCCTTTTCTTTTTTCTTTTCTTCTGAAGACACCTATTTTACCAATCTAAACAGAAGGATGACCAAAACAGCCGAGTCAAACTGATTAACGACAACTGGATCTGGTTGGTGTCTGTGGTGCCTAGAAACACTTCATCGCAAAACCCTGAGCTTCAACTCCACTGTGAGGGGCAAGGCCACACTCCAACTTCTCAGGAAAACAAAAGCTGTTGTTGCACAGTTTCTACTTGGCACCCAAACCCGAGCGACTGCACATTTAAAATAACATTCCATTCCACACATCCGATTCGAGAGAAAGGCAGGCAACGTTGTACGTGGGGACCAGTAGAAAGACGGCAACCATAGCTAGGGGTCTGTATGCTTCTAATTTGCCCTGGCAGGAAGTGGGGCAACGATAGTTACACTTGCTAAGTCATGCTCTGGCATTTTAAGGAATGCCATCCGTGGAGGTTTAAGATTCCTGGAAGCGCACATTCTGCATGGGTGCTGATAACCCACTGAGAGGTGATCTGCTCCCTGCTCCCCGATGATCCTCCCTTAGCTTCCCCTCATTTTGGGGGGGACTGTAACAGTGTGGCAGCTAGGATTTAGGCCTGGGCATATCCTCATGGTTAAAAGAAAAAAAAAAGCACCAGGGAGTATAAAACTTAGAGCAAAAGACAACTATGAGGGCAGCTGCCTTAAGCATTTAGGGAATTAGCTAGTCATTTGTTTTACTATTTGACAGGATTCTTAACCATCCCTCAAAACAGGACTCTATTCAGTATATGGTATTAGTGAGCTACAGTGAAATGACCCTTTACCATTTTCCTATTAGTAAGTTAAAATAAAGTGTATGGTACCCAGCAAACCCTGCCACTCAATGGGAATGGAAAGATAAGCACATTTCGGCGAGTTGGGGGGGCGAAGGTTCATTTCTGTTCCCTTGGCATTGCTACCAATTCCCAGGGTGCTCCGGGGAGGTAAGGCCTTCCTCTTCTCCACAGGACATCACCCTGCATCCCTTCTCTGATGTTCTGCACAGGCCTATCTTTCAGGCCGCCACACAAGCACATCTGCTGCAGGGAACTGCAAAGAGGGTTTGACACTGTGAGGAGAATCTGGAAAGAAGATGTGATCTTAACGGAGAGGTAGGATTTAAAGCCAAGGAGGAGGCAGAGAAGAAAGGTTTCCAGGAATTTCTAAACAATTGTTTCTTTCCTTTTGTTTTTTTTTACTTCCTTGACCCATCTATATATAGCCTGTTTTTTAATGATCAGAAAATGGCCAAGTTTAACTGAAATAAAATTACAAGCACCCTGGCCTGTTTAGCTCAGTGGCTGGAGTCTCGGCCTGTGGACTGAAGGGTAGCAGGTTTGATTCCGGTCAAGGGCATGTACCTCGGTTGCAGGCTCGATGCCCGGCTCCAGGCGGGGAGCATGTGCAGGAGGCAACCAATTGATGTGTCTCTCTCACATTGATGTTTCTCTCTGTCTCTCCCACTCTTTCACTCTCTCTAAAAATCAATGGGAAAAAATATCCTAGGGTGAGGATTATCAACAACAACAAGAAATAAGAATACAAGCAACCAACCATGATGTCACTACTTTCAATTTTCTTGCTGTCTTTCCACCCCCACCCTCCCCCACACTTGCACATGCGCACTGTAGACACATCAAAGTATTTCTTCCCAGGGTGGTGAGACAATCAGCTTCTCCACAAAGATGTGCACATCATCCCCAGGGTGAGAGCAGAAGAGAGAGTGGGAAGAGCAGGGGGTCTGGTTTGCTTACTGGCGGGGTCACCTTGGGGAAGTTACTTAACCTCCCTGTTGCCACAGCGTCCTGTCTGTGAAATGGGAATAGGCACAGGGTGGCTGTGTGGACCGAATGAGTAATGTACACAAAACACTTGGGACGGGCTTCACACGAGCTAAACGTTTAAAATGTAAGCTGCATTAGTTTCTAATACCATGAACTATGATGGTAATTAAGGTGGGCCGCCACCAGGATCCTAGGGGCACTGGCTTTAATGTTTTCATTTTCAACCTTCATAATTGTCTTCAAATAGGCAGGTTTCTTGTTTTTTTGTTTGAAAGACTCCATTTAAACAGCTAAGAAATTGCTGACTAGGGCACCTGCCCCGGCTCTGGCCCACAGGCGGCCAGCTGCTGCTGGGCTGTGTGTTCTCTCTTTGCTTCTGCTTGGCTCAGCCTGTTGACTAATGTCTCCATGTGAACACACTGGCTTTGTGTAGTGAAAGGGAAAAGAGGGGTCCATGCCCTACCCTGGAGGGAGATGGGGGGGAAAGCCCCATTACTCCAGGACCTGCCCAGCAACAAAGCAGACTCCTATCTCCAGGAGCGTGAACATCCTTAAATAAAGAGTTAACCCTCCAATGCCTCTCTCTCCTGCACATCCTGGTTTACACAGAACTGGTAGCTGGCTTCCCACACACTCTCCTGTGGAGGTTGGAGGGGGCGCTGGGCTCTTTGCCTGGGGTCTACGGTCCAGGCCGTGGCTGTTTCCCCACAGGGCCGGCTGCCTCCTGCCTGCTTGTCCCTGCGTAGGGCAGACTGGGTTTGTGGTCTTATCACCTACCTACAAATGCTACATTCCAGCCACTGCAATTGCCTCCTCACCATGCCCCTGCCCCAACCCATCCACGGCCTTTCCCACAAACATGAACTTGTTATAAACAGAGAATGGTCCATTTCAAAACTTTGATGTCCCTTTTAAACATTTAATCAACTACAAAGAGTACATATCACAGGATAGATTAAATTGATTTTTTTTTAGATTTAAGTGATTTTCTCACAATTTCCCATTCCCGTCTCCCTCCACTTGCTCCAGATCTATAACAATGGTGGGACCCTCCAGCAGCCCCCTCAGAATGAGCCCACAGGAGCACACAGTTTAAGTACACACAGGGTGCTTGCTACCCAAACACAGTGCGAAGGGATGCCCCATAGCCAACCCTTCCAGATTTCTGCCCCCAAGCTTCTCACGTACAGAATTTGGGGAGCCCCCCACTATCTGGAAGGTTAGGAGAGACCAAGGCTGTTGGTGTTCCATGATGAATATCTCCACTTGTAAGGGACTCATCCTCAGAGACTTAAATCATGCGACCAAATTAGAAGTTAAACTCCACTAGACCTACGTCTCAGGAGAGCAGAGCGTAAACCCTGTCCTCTCCCCTCTGCAGCAGGTGTTGCAGGGATCATGAGGCCTCAGTCCAGCCACCTACCTTGATGGTCTTCACCAGGTTGGCGGTGCTGTTGGCGACTTCCTTGGCTGACTGGACAAAGTGCCTCTTGGCCACTGGGTTGGCTGTCTTGGACGAGGCGATGCGGCAGGCGTTGCATAAGGCCGAGGTGTGCTTGGCGACAATCGTGGCGGCTGACAGAACCTAGAAAGCATGGAGCTGGGTTGGGGGCACCCCATGCCTCAGTGCAGAGGGGTCCAGTTCAGGAGTCCACCTGGTCCCAAGCCCTGGATTCCTCTTCAACCCACATGTCCAGGGCCTGTGTAATTACAATACACGTGTCTAGCTCTGCCACCCCCAGTCATCCCAAGAAAGGAGAGGGTGAGAATTATTCAGCAAGAGAGAATAAATGAAGAAAAGGAAAGTGGGTGCTGATGTAGGGGTGGGAGTGATCTGGGCTCCAGACAATCTTAAAGGAGACGCAGTCAGCTGTCCTGTGGAACCCCCGGGGAGGAAGTGTTCGGCCCAGGGTCTACGCCAGCACTGCCTAACAGACATAGAGCATGAACCCCATATGTAATTTTCGAGCAGCCACGTTAAAATAAGTAGAGAAACAAGAGAAATTAATTTAAATAATATATTTTATTAAACTTGAAATATCCAAAATATTTCATTTCACCATGTAATCAACTTGATAATATTGAGATTTTACAGTCTTTTCTTATCATATCACGTCTTCAAAGTCCAATGTGTATTTTATACCCACAGCCCATAAAACTAGACAAGCTACATTTCAAGTGCACCTCGTGGCTAGCACATTGGAGAGTCCAGGCCTAGATAAGCAAAACAGACATCAAGGTACGATAGCTCCTGCCTCGTGCAGGCACCTTATTAAGTGGTCTGTCTCAGGGATCTTCTAGGCTCTCCTATCCCCTGCCCCCCAACACATACCCCACAAAACACAACTGCTCTCCTGGAGCCACCTGATCTACTTTGCTGAGGCTGGTAGCACCCCTTTGCCCTTACCTGGACAGGTAGGAAACTCAGGTGCACTGATGCCTTGCAAGCCCGCTCTGAGGCCTGCTTCAGGTCCAGGTCTTCCCTGTACCGCCTCTTTCACTTGGGTCCTTCTCCTGCCTCAAGAATGCTCTTCCCAGGGTTTAGGATGAACATACCACTCACAGGCTGCCTCTGATACCCCAGATTGGCCAGTTCTTGTTCCTTTCAGCACCTACTGCTTTAATAAGTGAATGGGAGCCCATGCCACATAAGCATGGAATGTCACATCGTGTCTAGTCCTCAAATGTCTATGGCTCCTTTATGGGCTGTGGATTATAACCCAACTTGGAGACCTGGCTCAGCACCACCATCTCTGTGATGTGATCCTCAGAAAATTCATCATACCTTCCTTGTGCGTTGCTGGCACTGTCATCATAGCCCAATCACTGCATCTTCCAAACTTTATCCAATAGACTAAGTGCCAAGGGTAATGGGGATTGGATCAGACTCATGCCAACCCATGTTGAGCACGGAACAAGCCCTCAGCAGATGTCCCTGAACTGAGTGGAATCACGAGACTCCTGATGAATCTCATGCTGGTTGCTTTACCCCGACAGCCTTCCAGCATCCCATGTCAAAGCACCTACACATTTCCACTTTCACCTCGTTCTGTGACATCCCCCCGAGTCACTATCTCCAGTGCTGCACTGAGCTGGCTTTGCAAGCTCTGTAAGAACAGTATTCTTCACTAATTCCTCCCACTCCCCCACAGCCCACCTACGAGAGCTTAAGGACTCACAGATCTCATACCCTCGCCCCGTGGTTACCTGTGACGGGCTGCTGCCAGGGTCCACCAGGTTCTGGCATGCCATCTGGATAGCCTGGTTAGCCCTGGCGAACTGGATGGGGTCCACGAGGCCCTGGTGGCCTGCCTGGCTGTTTGGATCAGAGATGCCAACAAGGTATGCAGCCTGGAAAGGGAGAGGAAAACCACAGCTCAGGCTCTGGGCTCCCAGGTGAGCCCATGGGGGACAACCATCCTGTAATGTACATGCACCAGCCATGCTTAGGGAGCTCCTTTCTGCAAGTTTGTCAAGGTAATCAGAGTGGTCAGGCCTTAGGGATGGTCAGGTGAGTGCCAGCTCGGGAGTTTGCTGCAGGCTTCTGGGAACAAAGCCTCCTTGCTCTGAAGAAAGCCTCAAGAAGCTCTTCTGTGGGCCACGAACAAGGATGGACCCGGATTGACTGTTTCTGGCAGCCACCTTAGGACCATGAGGGAGGACACCCAGCCTCGGCATGAAGCTGACCCTCCTACTGGCAGATGGGAGAGGCAGGGAAAAGTGGGCGCAGACTGATGGCATGGCGCTGCTGGGTCAGCCAAGCCTGGAGCATGCCCTTCATGAGGGTTTCTAATCTCATTGCCTAACGCGTCCTTATTTTTTAGGCCAGTATTTCCAATAGCAAATAAGAAGAATGAGTAATATGGCTCAGGGGAAAAGGTAATATTTGGTCTCTAAGAGGACAAGAGGCTGGAGGAGAAAGTCTTTTCTTTAAACCCTCTGGATGCATTAGACTAATAACAGGGAGAAAATGAATCCGTGAGCAGCAATTTTAAACTTAATTCATTTCCCCTGAGATGGGTGGGGTAGGATAAAGGTAGGCAATTTCATCCCCCAAACGAGGGATGGTTTTCTTTGGTTTAGTAAAATCATCTAGGCTCAAAGCAACTGCCAAATGATAAGTCTTTTAAGGTAAATGCTGACATTTTGAAGCTTCAGTCACGTGAGCCCGATAATTATGGGAAATGCCCAGGACAGTCGAAGAGCAAGGAACATGCCCGATGGCGTCTCTGCATGACAGCATTTTTTTCTCCCTCTGATGCTAAAAGGATCATGACTAAGGTTTTTGCAATTCTAAAACCTCAGAGAGAATTTGAATTATGTAATGCCTATCCCCCCCCCCAAAAAAAAAACACAAACAACTCATCTGGAGCTCCCCTATGCCTCCCACAGGGATCTGGTCCTCCCCTAGCCTGCACAGGACACAGGCTGCACTGCAGGGGAGGGGGACCAACCAGTCCCTTACCTGAGCTGCTGCCTCTGTCAGCCCACAGAGAGCCTTGGAAGCAATCCCTACACACTCCCCAAAAGCAGGAAGGTCCCCGGTCTTGGCATTCTGCGAAATCCCTGCCATCGACTCGCCCAGAACCTGCAAAACAAATAACCAGCAATAGTCTCTGACCAGCATTCTTCAAACCATGGGGTAAAGGGAACTACACTTGCAACTTTAACATCCAAGGATGCCTAATTTACAATATTGGCCATTATTTCCCTTTATTTGCATTAATAAAGGATTTAAGACAATTATGTTGTTTCTGTTCCATAAAGAGAATTGAATAATAAAAATATAAACGTTTTACCCAAAAGTTATCTCTGTCTCAAGAAGAAACAGTAAATATACTCAGATCAATAAAGTAAAATCTATACAGGGCATCCCACAGGGGAATGGTCTGGATTGAGAACTCTTAATTCCCAGAATACAAAAATCAGACACACCCATTGAGCTGTAGATGAAGTCACATCCAGAAAGCAGAAGTCACACTCCTCCTGGTATTATTTTACTTATTTACAGTAAAATTTAAATGTCTTTATGAAGCTTATATAATCTGAATACTAATAAGGTTTCCTAAATATTATATTTTCCCATATTTTGAACATCATTGGTATATTTTCTTCAGAGGGCTCTAAAATAGCAGCTAAAGGGGATTTTAGTATTCAGAATCCGACCCAGAGAGGTCAGGCACAAGGTCACAGAGAAGGTCATGGGCAGAGGCAGGGCACCTGCCCCTTGTCTGGTGTTCTGTCTTCTGTGGGCCTCACCAGGCCCCCGAGGGCTGGTTCTACCTTCCAGGATAACAGATGTTGGAACAGAAGGCTGTTCAACACAACCCCTTGGAGAGGCAATGGGATTGCTAAGTCTAGAACGCAAGGCAAAGCTCTTCATTTGTCAATAAGCCGCCTTGCCTGGGTGAAAGCAAAAGAAACTCCCTAAAATTGTTTGGAGATAGAAAATAATCCAGCTTCCTTGCAAAGCACAGAAGTTAGAGGGTATTTTCAGATACAGTATTTTCCTCTCCCTAACTCTGCATCCCTCTTTGGCTCTAAGTACCGGAAAAATATGTATCCTCCCTTAGACAACCCATCGTTCCATAAAGAACGCTGGACAGGACAAACCCTAGTCTTCGCCCAAGGCAAAGCAGGCTCTCCGGACACCACCGATAGAGATGTCTCCCTGAGGCTAATGTAAAGTGATGTGAACAAGCAAAGCCAGACTGCCACTGCTCAGTATCCATTCATCTCACTCGCATTTCATTTTAACCAGATTCTGGCATTCTCAAAAGCATGGATATTAACATCATGGGTTTCTCAACCTTTTAAAAATTATTATTACTCCTAACATTTCCCCATAACTTCCACCCACGTCAAATTAATTACTAAGAAATAAGATTTTGTTGAATAAGGTTAAGGTTGGGGGGCGGGGCACAAACTGTTGTATTACCTTAGATTTTTCTACCCACATCCAAAAACCTCCCCCACAGTTTCACTCTTTGAGAATGGCTGCCGTGGATGGATGGATGGCAAGGAGTACACAGAAGAGGGGCTCATATAAGCCAAGGTCACTGAAGGGCTTTCCCCAAGAGTTCAATCCCAGGTAAAGAAAATACATGATTCGATCCACAGTGAGACCCATCTGTGATATGGTGGAAGCAGTGGCTCTCAAAGTGTCGCCCCTGGACCTCATGGGCAGGACCTGGAAACTTGTCCAAAATGTACAATCTCAGCCCTACCTCTGATCTACTGAGTCAGAAACTCAGGGGTGGGGCCTTGCGTTCTGTGTTTAACAGGAAAGATCCCGAGATGAATCTGGTGCAGGGTCATGTTTAGAGAAGCACATGAGCCAGGGCTACAGGAGAAGACTTTATGACACGTGCAGCAATACAGAGCAGCTATGGGCAGATGCACTGGAAGCACGTCTGAGCCCCTCCCACACCGAGGAGGAATGTTAAGAGCACAGGCCGGCTTACCTTGGAGTTTTCCATCACACTCTCAATGCAGTCAAAGTAAGAGAGGTCACTAACAGGTTCATTAGGATTGTCCAACATCCCCTTGACAGTCTACAGAAGGAGAACACAACTTAAAAAGCACGCACGTGTTACAGAACAAGAAAAATTCAACCTAACATACCAGCAATCAACTTCCCTCCCTGCACAGGATTCTGGTCACGATCACTCATTGACCCGGGTAATTGAAAGGAATTTATACCAAAGTATCCATGACATCAGATTTCCGGCTAAACACACAACACTGAGTGGAGGGGTGGGTGTGTGCGTGTGTGTCTCAGGTTATTATTGATGGAGAGGAGGATCTTATTTTCAATTACGACAGAGAAGCACGGTATCTACAGGGCAGGGAGAATTTTTTCTTAAAGAAATCTGTAAGTTAATGCAAGGCAATGAATTTATGGTAAATCAGTACAATTTCTTTGCTGGATAACTCCAAGGAGTTTAAATTTTAAGAACACACTCATTTCTTCATGATTAGTAGAGCCTGCGGTTTTCAGTTCTGGAACCTTTTCATGGTAGGCCTGAAAGAAGGTAACTCCCCCCGCCCCCGCCCCCCAAATGCTCAGTGGGATAGTTTGCTTCTTTTTATTTACATTTGAACACTATAGAAAATGCCCCCCCTTGCTTAGGTCCCCATCAAGGAACTGCATATACGGATTGTCTCTTCTGTCTTTGTTTCCACTTCACTGAAAGTGATCCCTAGCTTTCATGTTATAATGACCTTCGAAGCTGGAAAGTCTGGAGGTACAGCCATTCAACCTTCTCCCCGCTGAGAGAAAATGTGCACGAGGACCCAGCATCCTTTGGGCACAGCCAACAGAAAGACAGGGTCATTTAAGTTGCAAAAGGTTGCGTGGCAGTCATGGTAGAAACTGCTGAGTTACTCAGAGATATGAGGGAAAGAGGGCGCATAATGGAGTTCATTTCATTGAAGAATCTCCTCTCACCCCTTGTATAATCAAAATTGTTTTAGTAACAGCAATTCTGAAATAGTCATAATTTTGGCAACCAAGGATACCATTAAGGCATCCATTTGCACCTAGGCCAAAAGAATTCATTTAGATCAACAGCCTACATATTTATATTTGCAAACGTGAACAGACGGGAATTGAGAAATAATTCACCCGACGCAGGAAACACTCTCCACTGTTTTCAGAATGCCTCAGTCCCGTACGAAGCCACTTTTCACTTCCAGCACTTCCGCCTGCTCACAATGGCCTATTGCCATCGTCAGACTGAGCCTCAATCAAATCCCCTGCTGGCATGGGAGGTATTCCCACCAGGCCAGATCCATGTTAATCATCCAGAAAACTCAAGGTACATTGGGTACAACCAACCCATAACTACTGAGACATCCATTTCGCTGTTTCAGAAGAACCTAGATTGATTAAGACTGCTCTACATACAAGTAGGCATACTGTTGGGCATAATCCAATTTTAAATTAGAAATAAACCATAAGTATGAACATAAATGTAAAAGCACCCACGCTGTGTTCTACCCCATGGGCACCTTGGTCATATGGTATGAGTACCACTTTTGGGTTTTGTTTTATGTGGTCCTTACATGTTACAAAATAAAATATATGGGGAAATCATTTTTACTCAGAAAGCACATCTATTTCAGCTTCTCTCAAATGCCTCAGAATAACCTCTCCCAAACTTTTCAGGTAGAGCTTGCTCACCTTCAACCTACACCCAATACCATAGGCCTCTTTCAGTTTGAAATAAAGAATCCTTTAACAAAATAACTTTCATCCTAGTGGAAAAAGGGGAAGTAGGGTTGGTAATCCCACCAAATCTAATCTTTATTCCCCCCACGTGGATGGAACTTTGGCCTTGATAGTCTCCCAGGAAGATAAAAGTCAGCACAGAGGAGAAGGAACTGACCCCATGGGCAGAGGACAGACAGACACACTCTTGGATGCTCAGAGGCCTGTCCGGGACCCACCTCCAGCTCCCGCAGGGCATTGTCACACTCCTTCTGGCCGGGCGCTTGCTGGGTGCACAGTGTGATGAGTTGATTGATGCTCTCTGTCACAGCTCTGTGCCAGAACAGAAAACATGGGGTGCTTTTGTTTTTAAAAAAATCAGCAGTAACTTCTCCAAGGATACTTTGCAGGTTTATTAGAAATACAATGAATTCACTGTATAGCCTTGGGGACCCCAGTAGAGCTCTACTATAAAGCTTTAAAAAACCAGGAAAAAAAGAACCCACTCCCAGGAAAGACAGAAGGAGACCCCTTACCTTGCTTCCAATTATCCATTTGATTTAACCGTAAATGGTATTGAAAGTTCTTCTAAGGCAGTATGACCACCTTATAATATATTCATAAGAAAGAATTCACAACAATGTTGCAAATAGCAAAGAGATCATATTAACACTGATCATGAGGAGCCCCAAAAGAATAACATTATCAGAACAAGGTTATTTTGGGTAGCCTTGGCGTAGTTTGGAATATCTTGTATATTTTTAGACACAGTGACATATAGTAGTAAACTCTGTCTATAATTTTTAAATCCCACTTTCCATTAAATTCTATATAATCGACTAGTTCCTAAATGCTATCTCAAAATTATTCTTTAAAATAGCAACTTTCTTTGTTAATACTAATACTTGTATGATTGATTTTACATGTGTTTCTATTCTTCTTAGAACTTAAAAGGCAGCCCAGATTTTTTTTTTTTTTCAAGGACTGGAAGTCAAATTATTCCAGCACCATTGGTTTAAAAGGCTATTCTTTCTCCATTGAATTGGTTTTGTAATTTTGTTGACAATCAATTGGCTATATTTGTGTAGATCGACTAGATTTTATTCTTTCCCACTGATCTATGTGTCTAACCCTTCGCCAATACCACACCACTTTGATTACTAAAGCTTTATACTAATTCTTAAAACTGAATACCTTTGTGTTTAATAAATAAAAAAACAGAGTTGAGATCATTTCCTAAGAGGCTGCTAGGAGTAAGGAGCAGACACAGACGGAAACCCATGCCTATCTAACTCAAACTCTTTTCAGCAGGGTCATAACCAGTCCACACTTCTGGCAGGGCCTGAAACCTATTCATGGTTACTAACCACTGCAGCTAGCAGACAACTACAACAAAAACAAAATAGGGCACATATTGCTGTTAATTATTAACACTGCCTAATAGAAAAGATAGCTCATTTTATTAGTTAAATTCACTTTGCAGCTTCCCACAGAATATCAAATTAGATGTAAATGATGTTGGAATGTACAGTGGTAATCAGCTTAATTACTTGATGAGGAGATATGCTTTGAATTTTAAAATTTAGCCAGGGTGAGGAGAAGAAGAAAATCACTCCTGAACTCAAGAAAGAACCCCTAACACAGATTTTTGCCACACTAACTCTAATGGTTTATTTATTTGGGGAAAAGTGCTGGATTACGGTGTCACTGGGAAGTACTGTGAGCTCCATGGTGCAAAGCAAAACAAGGACCCCTAGGATGGCAGGGCAGTCCCTAGTTCTGACCACTTGGAGGGGCACCCGTGAGTACCCACTAGAAGCATCCCTCAGAGGGTCCCACACCACGTTCAGTGTGGCCGCCTTCAGATGCACTCAGTGAACAGGCTGATGATGCCAACATGACAAAGGGAAGAGAGTGTCCTGAACTGTGATGACCTGATCATTCGGAGAATATCACACAGCTTTCCATTTAACTTATTTCTTTCAGTGTTTCCTATTTATCTGCATTTTTAAAAAACCTACCTTTTACGTGAAGATTTTCCAATTAAAAACTAAGGATTTATAATTGATGAATCCAGAGAATATATCACTGTTCATTGTCTTATTTTTAACTATTTTGTAGATGTAAATTTTTTTTCAAATAAAAATTTCGGAGTTAAAAACAACAACAACAAAACCCCAACAGACTGAGTTTGTGGTTAGAAAATCCATAAAAGTGCCTGCACAACACTGCAGTCTGAACAACTCACTTGGGTAACAGTGATCCATGACTGAAGAGCATGATTTAAGTATCATTTATCCACATCACTCATTTTAGCCTCTGGATTACACAGCCAAATCGTCAATTAGGTGGCCCAGAGGCAAATGGTTATATAGATGTGACAATGAAAAATAATATTGTTATGTTTCAAAAGCCATTATTTACAAGAACAAAAGATTAGAGGCAACACAAATACACTATGATAAAGGATTGACTAAATAAATGTATTGTTCACAACAGAATCCTGGGTGCCCATTAAAAGTCATATGTATAGGGTGGGGCAAAAATAGGTTTGCAGTTGTAAGCAAAACAGAGTTTATTTTGTATTATTATTTAATTATGTATTATTTTTCATATGAACAACTATAAACCTACTTTTGCCCCACACTGTATAATAGCGTAATCCTAATGCCATAAAAGAATATTCATGACACATAATTAAGTAAAGTAAAATTTACAAAACAGTATAAACAGTATGAGCCTACAACTGTAAATACATAAAAACTAGAGGCCCAGTGCACAAAATTCATGCCCTCGGGGGGCGAAAGGGGGGTGGTCCCCCAGCCTGGCCTGTGCCCTTTCACAGTGCGGGAACCCCACAATCGATTGCTCCAATGAGGTAGGCCCCACCCACCCATCCGGGGCTCCTCGATGGATTGCCCCAAAGAGGTAGGCCAGAGCCGTGGGCCTCGCCTCTGCGCCACGCATGCAGCGTCAAGCACCCGCCCACCCGCGCATGCATATAGCCCCGCCCAACCACATGCATCCACTGCACATGCAGCCTCCTGGTGTCGCTCGTTGTGGCGTGAGGGCGTCACTGCATGAGGGCGTGATGACCACATAGGTTTTTATTAATAGGATGTTTACAGTGATTTTACATTTTTTAAAAATATTTATTGATTTCAGAGAGGAAGGGAGAGAAAGAAACACCAATAATGAGAGAGAATCATTGATTAGCTGCCTCGTGCATGCCCCCTACTGGGGATTGAGCCCACAACCCCGGGCACGTGCTCTTGATTGGAATCGAACCTGCGACCCTTTGGTCCACAGGCCAATGCTCTATCCACTTAGCCAAACCAGCTAGGGGTTTACATTTTTATTTTAAAATTTCAGAAATCTACTAAAAAGTTATGAATCAACCAACTTATATTATCAATAAAAATTTGGCCTAAATTAGCAGCATCTGTTCTATATAAATCCCAATAGGCCTGAACTGTAGTTATTCTTTCCTACAATATTTAAAATGATCAAATCTATGCAACTTTATTTTTAAGAATATAAAAAAGTTAAATGACCATAATTCCATCATCTATAGATAGAATTTTCTTGCGTGTTATTCTTTATCTAGGCATATCTAGCCAGTCTCAGTTTTTAAAAAATTGGGATCTACAACCTCAGAGGTTAAAAAGGGGCTTTCTGACATACAAATCATTTAGTGTTTAGAGATACTGAGCTGATTTACCTAAAGTTTGGGAGCTCTGGTGGGAAATTTTAGCTAGACATGGAACTGGATTAGGAATGAGAGAAGAAAATCACCAATTTGCGCTTTTGATTGTGTAGTTAAGGCACTAAATATCCCATAAGAAGCTTGGAGGGAAAAAAGCAACACCAGACATTTCCCTCCCTCAAGGGATGAGGTGCTTAGGGAGGGAGTAAATAGCAAACCAAAATCCACCTGCAGTTTTTCCAGCATCTTGCTATGCACAAGGCTCAGGACTTAAAAATTACACAGTTGAACTGTTGTTTGATCCAATGATCCCACCTCCAGGGATATATGCTAAGAAACCCAAAACACCAATCAGAAAGAATATATGCACCTATATGTTCATAGCAGTGTTATTTAAAATAGCTAAGATCTGGAAACATCCCAAATGCCCATCAGCAGATGAGTAGATACAAAGGCTGTGTACATCTACACAATGGAATACTATCCTATTAATAAAAGCCTATGTGGTCATCACGCCCTCATGCTGTGATGCCCTCATGCTGCAACGAGCGATCACCAGGAGGCTGTGTGCGCAGTGGGCGCATGTGCGTGGGGGCTTGACACTGCGTACGCGGAGGCAGGGCCCATGGCTCCACGCAGCAAGGTCTGGGATCCTGAGGCACAGAGGCGGGACCCCCGTCTCCGACCTACCTCTTTGGGGCAATCCATCGAGGGGCTCCCACACTGTGAGAGGGCATAGGCCAGGCTGGGGGGATGCCAAGTGCACAAATTTCGTGCACCAAGCCTCTAGTGCAGCTATAAAAAGGATGGGTCTCTTACCCTTTGAGGCAACATAGAGACACACCTATGCCAAGTGAAATAAACCAGTCAGAGAAAGACTAATAACACATGATCTCATTTATATGTGGAATCTAATTAACAAAATAAACTGACCAACTAAATAGATCTAAAGGCATGGAAGCATGAAACAGACTGATGAATCGGAAGGAGGGAGAGAGGAGCAGGAAGAGCTTAACCAAAGAACTTATAGGTATATATGCATTCCCTGTGGTCACAGACAATAGTGTGGTGAAGGCCTGGGGTGGGGCAGGACCTGGGAGGAGGGGGGCCATAGGGGAAAAAGGGGAAACATCTGTAAAAATCTCAACAATAAAGATAAAAAATAAAGTAAATAAGACCAGGCATTTTAGCTTCAGGAAAAAAAAAATACAATTGAAGTCTGGTTGAAGAGGCAAGATAATGACTAGACAAGGCACAGAGAAGGTGCTGGGGATACGACACCAGGCAGGCCACAATGGATCCTGAACCTCCTGGGGGCAAGATGCATGCCAGACTCACAGGGAGCACAAAAGTAATGAAGGCCTTCACCAGGGGCACGGGTTCCACATGGCAGGGAAGGCTCCACGTGGACTGGGGTCAGGCCTGAGTGTGACCCTGATTTGGATAAAGGGAAGAGAACATTCTAGAGGAGACCAACAACCGGAAGGCCCAGATGAAGGGACTGGCTGTCTCTAGGGCTGGGAAGGCAGTGGGGCTGAAAATGAGGGCCACAGTGACCCGATCCCTGCTGCTTACCTGCAAGTGCACCTATGCTCAGCACCACTGGGAGGCCGAGATGGCTCAGGCTCCTGGTATATGCCACCTGCCCAAACTCCAGCAGGGCCATCCCTGTCTTATCCGTAATGCACGCCCAGCGCCTGCTCTATCCCACATCCGGCATGTGGTACAAATGTGGGTAATGAATACAGCCCAACCTGGGAGAGCTTTACCAAGAGGCGGCTGCCTGACTCACCTGACCTCCTGGGAGCTTGGCTGGGAAACCACCCCGGGAGCGGGGCTTGCCAGCACGTGCCAAGAAGCCAGCAGGAATGTGCCAGGTTCTTCTTGCAACAGTTCCGTCCTGAGATAATCATTTCACATAATGACTTTTAAGTGCTGACCTGGCTATAAAACCATCAGGCTGGGAACTCCTGGTAGACTGCTGAAAGCCAGGACAACATAGGCAAAGAAAGCTTTTTCACCTAAAGTCTTGCCAGCCTTTCCTCAATGTGACCACCAGGGGGCCTCCAGGTCCCCACAGAGCCAGGTCACCGCAACATTTCTTGGTGGTGGTGGTGGTGGTGGTGGTGGTGCGGGGGTCTGCGTTTCCTTCCTTATCTGGCTTTCGAAAGGCCAGTTCTTACTCTCCCCTTCTTCCCACAATTTAAGAGAGTGAACAATACATTCTAAGTTGAAAACTGTAATTCTGAAATGATGCAAAAAACTGAAGACAATGAAAAACATCTGCGATCAGATACCTGGAAATGTCAATTGCCTTATCCTAAGGTTCTTTGTAGGAAAAAAGAACATTTACGGGAGGGTTTTATACCAGAAACAGCTGCTCAGCACAGCACACATATCCCCCTCCCGCCCCAGCCCTGGGACAGACTCACTGGAACTCTCACAACACACAGCATAAGATGGAAGTGGGGAGACGTCAGGATATTTTTCCAGTCTCTAATGGCTCTAGCTATTTCTTGAAGCTAAAGTATGTATTTGGGAATAAATGAAGAAACTCTAGGATTTTCTGAGGAACTGCCCTGATATGTCTAATCCTCCCCCCCAAAAATAGCACTACAAGCCATGCGGGGACCAGAGGCAGGTTTTCACCATTAGTACCATGGCATCGCATGTCCTGAGAACTGAGAAGACCTTCAGGATGATGTGCACACCCCCACTTTGCAGACGGGAAAGTTTAGGCAGGTGAGGGACCCAACGGTGTAACCTAGTTAGTAAGCAATAAAGCCTGGACTGTAATTCGGGCCTCCTGACTCTGACAACTTAAAAAACAGCCTTTGAGCTCCCAGGAGAGAAAGCCATAGAAAAACAAATGAGTAAACTCATAAGACCAAGTTTAACAATGTAGAATTGAAGCTATGCTTTTTCAAAACCAGTCATCTGCCCATTTTGAAAAGTTCCCAATTAGGCTTTAGATCCTAATTGTTTTGCATTTAATCTCTTCCTGCTGCCAGCTTTCCTGTACATGTGAGGATGCCAAGTAATGTCAAGAAAACCTGCCCACACCACCACAGCAGCAGAAACACCCTCCCTATTCGGGTCAGGAGAGTGAGGTGAGGAGTTTCCTGGTGGTCACAACAGTTTCTCTGCACATTAGCCTTCACTCACTGGTCACCGAACTCATAGCCACAGGGGCCCTGGGGCAGGCACTGTATTGTATCACCCACTTCCTGGGTGGGAACAACAGGAAAGAAGAACAATGACATCATCCAAAACGCAGATTCCTGTTTTAATGTATTTCCAAGAACTATTTACTCCCACGGCCGCCCCGTTCACCCTAAACAAGAATCACTCTGCATGGGGCAGACTGAACATGTTTCCGTCCATCTAACTAACATTGCTGCCAGGCGGACAGGCAAGTGCTCAAGAAGTGAGGAATGGCTAGTTGAGTATCATTTTCTTTTCTTTTTAAAAAATATATTTTCCAGTATTTTCTGAGTTGTTTTTCCACAAGCATATATTGCTTTCATAATCTGAAAAACGTAACACTCTTTTTTAAAAAGTCGACTTATAAATCATTGAGGGTCTTAAGTCTAAGCAAGGCCAATGGAAAAGGCTGGAGGAGAAGACAGGTTCCTGCAAAGGGGAAAGCACATGAAAATGAGCCCGTTTACTGATACCCTAGAGTTTCCGCCACTCTGGGCTCCCCCTCTGACAGCACCAGGATGACACCAATCCTTTGCTCAGCAAAAGCAGCAGGATGCCAGCATATCCGCAAACACTGACCCTGCTTATCAACACACGAGAAGCCCATTTCGTTCAGCTCTCACCTTGCAGCTGCAGCGAGGAGGTTTTTCGCATTGGGGGCTCCTGGGTCCACAGAGAGAGACTTGGCAGCTAACAGCAGCTTGCTGGATGCCATAGAGATATTCTTGAGGTTTCCGATCACCTGGATCTGGTCTTCTTTGGTCTGGAAGGTCAAGAGGGGCTGGAGTAACTAGGGATGCTCCATCACTCCTAGCAAGCCGTCAGAGAGCTGGGAGCAGCGTCTTGGGATAGAAGCAAGGTATCTACATAGATTGAATTAAGCCCAACTAGTTTGCAGATGCCTAACTTGTTGGGACACTGACTGGTGTCTACGCTTCCCCAGACAGACACCCAGACCAAGAGTCGCAAAACAAGGCAGAAATTCCTCCCCAAGTGGGTCAGCCAAGAGCTGTGCTATCTCACAAGTGGAGGCATTAGAGGGAGGGGGAGGGAGGGGGGAGCGAGCACGCGCACAGTGCACAGGCAGGCCACAGGCCAGCGTCTTGCTCAACAATGCTGGAGTTGTCAAGCGGCCCGTCCGTCTCAGCCTGGCACAGGCGGCCAGCCCTGTCTCAACAGTCAGAGCTGACTGCATCCCAGAAGTTCCTGACCCGGGAGAGGGCCCATTTCTCACCCTCTGTAGATAACAGAGCAAGAAGCACCCTGGGTAGCTCTGTTAGGGAGATGGCAGGAGCGCGGGGGAAACAGCTCCGCAGGCTGGCACCAGACCAGTCATGCTCCCTTGCTCTAAACCAGGAGTTTATCTGTTCATCTGGAGGAAGTGATTTTTAATCCTCTGACTCAGTATTAGATACCGTCCTTTAGATGGGCCCACCGAACCTCAACAACACGACTTTTTACTCTATTACCACACTCAAAGCACAGGATGTGGAGCTATACTAATCTCGGCTAAACATGTTCCCCCCTCCTCTTACCACCCTCCCTCCAAAAGATGTAAATAAAGTGACGCATTTTGTTGGAGGTCCGTGGGAATCGTTCCCCATCTCCAAGAATCACCTCACACAGAAGCTGATAGCATCTTGGGGATGCCACTCCGGTGAGATCACGGAGCTTTCTAAGCGGCAAAAAGAACGCAACAGGGTAGCCTGTGGACAGGTTCCCCATTCCTATTTGCCCAATCAGACTCAAGGGTGGCCTGTCCATTGGATTAGAGAGGTGAGGGTCAGTTCCAGACTGCCCACCACCACACACACACACACCTACCTGAGCTTGGCCCGCCATCTCAATGCCAGCATCGAGGAATTCATCGAAATCATCACTGAACTTCCCGGAGGCTGCAGCCAGCTCCCCGCTCTGCCCCCGGGTCGCATGGACCACTTCCCCAGCAGACTGGTTCAGGTCGGCCGCTGCTTGGTTCAGTTCGCTCTGGGCTTCCTGGAACGGCTTCGTGCTTGGAGGTAACTGTGGGGAACAAAAGACACAGCCCGTGAGAAGTTCTCTTTGCATGAGAAGGATAGAGGAAGGGACTGTGGACGAAGACAGATTCTACAGGGATGTGTTTAAGTCACTGAGGCTGAAGGCTCTGTGCGGCCTGAGCTCATGTTAAATTTGGCCTTCAACATATATGCATTCATTCACCCATTTACATTTGTTGAATACCTATTCAGTGCTAGACACTGTGGCTCTAAAAACAGTAAGACAGCCATCCTCAGGGGCTACGGTCTCCGAAGTGGCTCAGTCAGGACTCACATCTGGGCAATCTGCCTCCAGGATTCACTCTCTGAAGCACAACTCTCTGTTGTCTCTCTTAGGCGGAAGCTCTCAAACCTTTAGCTCTCCAGAACTAAAACACTGATGCCAGTAACCTCCCACTCCTATTCCTCCAAACTAACAGCCATCCATTTTTATGAGTGGCCTTTGCTCATAATATAGCTTAGCTACAGAACAGAACCGTCACCAGCAGAACTATGACTGTACATGAAAAGTTGCAGAGAGAGAGAGAGAGGCTAGACTCTCGCTGTCACACCCCATGCACTGCTTGCACACCTGGCAGGTGCCGGGCACCAGACAGAAAAGAAACAAAGATAAACAGGCACACGCCTCCCAGAAGGAGGCTCACAGAACAGGGAAGGAAACAGGTCCCAGGAGAAACCCCTCATACTACCTCTCCTTTAGTGAATCTTGGGACACATCTCCCTCCACTGCCTGATCGTCATTGTCTCAGATGCTCTGATAAGAAGTCGGATGATCACCTACTCCCCCCTTTCCTGTCTCACTGGGATGACCCAAGAGCAAATGGCAAATGGGTTCCAAGAAAAAGTGAACTTTAAAAGCTCCACCTGGAAACTTCACTGAGCAGAAAGCCAAACAAGGAAAAGGCAGATGGGCAGGAAGAGCAGCTCCTAAAGGAGAGTTGGCTCTCAGAGGCCCCCTGGGGGAGAGAAGACCCCACTCACACCCGCAGTGAGCTCCATTCCCCGAGGCCCCTTCCCAACCCCAAACCTCTCACCGAGTCCACAAGTAGCTTCTTGCTGGACTCCCCGATGCTCTTCAAGGCCACGTCCACATCCTTCTGCCCGGGGAGGCAATTCACGCAGTTATTCAGAGAGTGCGAGACGGCCTTGGCCACCTGCATACACGGAAGGAGAAAAGCTCTGTAAGAAAGTGGCTTTCCGTACATTTTTGCACGTGTTGGGAATGAGCAGTGACAGTATGCAGAGCTGAAAAACGATGGGGAAATGGTCCACCAGCATCTTCCTGACACTGTTTACCCTTAAATCTCCTCCTCTGGCCTCTCACTGTGGTAAATATCCTGTCTTGGCAAAGGGTCTGACACACTGAGACAGTACACCCTGTTTTTCCCCAAAGCCAGACTAAGTCTTGACTCTGCGATTCAAACTCCGAGCTTGCCAATATCATGTCAGGTGCTAAACAAAGATGTCTGATACCAAGAGAAACAGAAAGAGCTCCCCTGTTGAGAGCCCTGCAGAAATCAGAGAGGTGGAAGCAGGCCTGGAGGTCTCTGGATCACAGTTCATGGGGCTGTGGCTGATTCCTGCTCAGCGACCCTCTGAGTCATCAGCCCAAGCCTCACTGCCCGAGGGCAGGTAGCCCCTCCGAGCACTTCCAGACCCACCTGGAGGCGCCCACAGGATGCCTTTCAAGCAAGTGTGAGGACCCCCTGTTTGTACTCTTTGGCATCCTCAGTTAAAGGGCAAGACCTTAAGATGTGGGTTATGCCAATCCCTTTAATCTAAAGCATCTTCTTCTTAGTGACTGGTGTAGAACTTTGCCCAGAAGGTCTCTAGCCAACTAGGTGCATCAGGTAGTTGAAGACTCCTCCTAAGAGGCAGGAGAGAGTCAGAGTTTAAAACTCTGAGTGGTCAGAGCAAGTACATCTACCTTATCTCGCAGGCTAGGAAGCGGAATACCCTCGAGCATATGTAGGCCCAAAGCAAACAGGTTGTGTCCTGACTCCTAAAGCTCCAAGGCCAGATTTCAACAAAGTAAAGTCCCCAATACGCTCTGTTGGTACATTATGTTGGCTACTATGCAAGATTTGCTAAAGTAGGTATTAAGGCCTGGCTGGTGTGGCTCAGTGGTTGAGCGTCGACCTATGAATTAGGAGGTCAGGGTTTGATTCCTGGTCAGGGCACATGTCCAGGTTTCAGGCTCGATCCCCAGTAGGGGGTGTGCAGGAGGCAGACAATCAATGATTATCTCTCATCATTGATGTTTCTCTCTCTCTCTCTCTCTCTGAAATCATTAAAAAAATACTATTTTTTTTTCAAAAGTAAGTATTATGTAGGTAAGGGTAGCATTGTTATGGAAGGTCCTGGAAACACCCACTGAGTAAGTGTTCGCACCAGAAGAAGAATGCCCAGGAGGGAGCCTGCTGACACATCCACTTTAGTGACGACCACTGTTCCGGGCCTCACCTGGGCCAGCCTCTGCTGACTCTCCGCATCTCCAGGAGCAATCAGGGCCTGCTTGGCTTCTTGGATGAGCATGGCCGAGCCCTCCATCACATCGCGAGCAGAATCTAACATGGCGTGTGCAGCTGCGGGGTCACTTGTGGATGCAGCCACTCCACGGGCAGCCTGGGCCAGCGTCTTCAGAGCTTGGGCCGTCTCTCTAGCTGCCACCCCTGTGGATAAAAGCCATCTAAAGTCATACTTGGGAGTAAACCTCTAGACTGGAGCCTCCTAGAAAGAAGAGTGGCACACCTGAGCTCCAGATTCCTTATTATAAAATTTGAATTGGTGTGCTTCTCAAAGAAGTCGCCCACACCACTGGCCCTGGACCAATCCAAGAGAGACATTCTAACAAATGCCATGCTGAAAACCATTTCCCTCTGGTTCCCCTCACCCCCACTGCCCCACTGCTCCTAGACCTAGAACACCAAGTGCATGGGATCACACACAGGAAACTCATTCAAACCCACCTTTCTTTTCAATTGTTTTGATTGGGGCATAAGATTATCTATATATATAAAGCCCTAATGTGCAAATAGACCAAACAGTGCAACAACTGAACAACCAGTTGCTATGATGTGCGCTGACCACCAGGGGGAGCGCACGGAACATGGCGGGCGTCGGCAGCAGGTGGCTGAGTGCAGAACATGGTGGGCATCGGCCATGGTGGGATAGTGGAGCAGGTGAGCGGGGGTGCCAGACAAAGGTGGAGCGCCAGTTGCTGTCATTGGGGCAAGCCTCTGGTGGTTACTGAAAATTTTTTGCTCCCACACGCTGCAGTCCCACCCAGCACTCGTACCTGCTGCTGGTGCCGGCCCTGTTTGCACCCGTGGCCACGCTGGAGCCGCCGCTCACACCCATTGCCAATGCCCGGTGCCGGTCCCATCGCTCAGGGCTGTCAGCAGGTGCGATTGGCGAATGCTGGCCCTGATCGCCCCGAGGGCTTCGCCACCTACCCCTGCTCCTGAGGGGTGATCAGACAGCAGCCACCACTCACACTCACTAATGGCACCGGCCCTGCTCACACCCGCTGCTGGTGCCGGCCCCAATTGCTCCGCGCCATCAGCGGGTGTGAGTGGGCCCCCGTCAGCATGTAGGAGCGGCGGCGGCGGGAGTGAGGCTGCCAGGAGACCTGGGACCAAGGACCGTGGCAGGAGGGGCAGGGCGGGAGTGTGGAGGATGGGTCACTGCAGCCTCACGGTCCAAAGGTGCACCAATTCGTGCATTGGGCCCCTAGTATACAATAAGTGAACATGTCTCCATGGGCAGCTCAGTGACTTTCTACTTGCGTATCCATCTACATATATCTGTCCTCCAGATGGAGACATAGAACAATCGCATCACTCGTGCCCTTTCCCAGTCAATGTCCTCTCACACCAGAGGTCATCGCTATTCTAGTTTCTATCACTTTTGCCTGGTTTTACCTGTTCTTAAACTCCACGTTGATGGAACCACACAGTATGTATCCTTTTATATCTGGTTTCTTTCTCGGACCATAATGCTGTGAGAGTCACCCATGTTGTTACCCATAGCCGTTCATTCCGTTTTCTTGGTGTGTAGTATTCCATTTACATGAATGCATCAACATCTGTTTATGCATTATTCTGCTGATGGACATTTGGATTGTTTCCTGTTTGGGCTACTATAAATAAAGCTACCAAGAAAGTTCTTGTACATGCATTTAGGTTGACATATGGAATTGTTTTTTAAAAATATAAACGTAGGAACACAATTGCTGGGTCACAGAGTAAGTGTAAATTTAGAAGTACTACAAAGCTTTTTTTCAGAATGTTTTTTTACCATGATGCACTCCACCAGCAATGTATGAGAGTTCCAGTTGCTCTGCATCCTAGGTGAAACTTGCTATTGTCAGATTTTTTACTTTAGCCATTCTGGTGGGTGTGCAGGTGCTTCTCACTGAGGGTAAATTTTTACATCTCTAGTGAGTAATGATATTGAGCACTTTCTCACTTAATGGCCATTGGGATCTCCTCTTTTGTGAGAGGCCTGTTCACCTTTCAATTCACTCCTAAAGATGTTGGGATTTGGTGATAAACTACGAGTATAAACTGCTCCTTAAAAACTCTGGCGCTACCTCCTGCAGAATGAACATGAGCCTTCCTACACGGCACCTAGTCCTTTGCAACCCAAGAAGAGGACGCAGACTGGAAATGCCAGAGCACGTGACAAAGGCACCTGAGAATCCTGAGAGCTGCAGAAGAGCCAACCTTAGAGCTCATCTATGAACCGTTTCATAGACAAGGCCCAGCGCTTTGTCCATGAACACGCTTTTAGAGGCAGCACCAGAGCTAGACCTGAGGTCTTCGAACTTCTGGGTCAGACTCTCTGCACAGTGCTCTCTGGGATAGAGAACAATGAGGGATCTTGTTAAAGGATATAACATCGGCATGAAAAATACGCAAATCAATTTTTTCTAAAGGCTTTGGCTGGATGGTCTCTGGGGACCACTGAGTGTGGCCTTTACCAGCCATTGCTTTGGCTGAATCGACAGACACGGTGGGTGGTCCTCTTCTTGCTGAGGATGATGAGGGCCCGTAATACAATGAAGAGTGCAAAAGGCCCAGCTCCATAAAACAAGACAACTGTACAGCACTGCAGACTTGCTGACCTGTAAATGTTTAGTAAGCCACACAGCTGGGACATAACTCTACAACCTAAGCAAGGCAGGTAAAACACCGCAGTCCACTGCTTCTCACACGGCACTTCTGCGTGCAACATGCAGAATCAAAGATTTTGAACAAAGTGCTTTCTGAGGCAGAGGAGAAGGCCAGGAGAGAAAACACGAAGATGATAAAGCGAAGGTGGCGGAGAAAAGCAAGCTGCGTAAAACAGCCATTCTACTTTACGGTTAAGCCCAGGCCGGAAGGCTGTCCCTGTGCAGAAAGGGCTGCAGAGGAGGTGTGGTTAAGACCTCATCTAGCTCTGGCTCTGCTGCTCATTAGCTGGGCGGCCTAGACTGTTGCCTCAGTTTCCCACAAGTGTTAGGGCAGGGTTGGGCAAACTTTTTGACTTGAGGGCCACAATGGGTTCTTAAACTGGACTGGAGGGCCGGAACAAAAGCATAGATGGAGTGTTTGTGTGAACTAATATAAATTCCAAGTAAACATCATTACATAAAAGGGTACGGTCTTTTTTTTTTTTTTAGTTTTATTCATTTCAAACAGGCCGGATCTGGCCCGAGGGCCGTAGTTTGCCCACGGCTGTGTTAGGGGAAGCTGAGATCACAGCTCTGACTATTGAAAATCGTAGCCTGTGGCTTTTAGATCCCTCCTCTTTGTTGTATGAACTGAATCCATTTCTATTAGAGTTGTATATGACTTTGGAAGAATAAAAACACTTATCATACACAATAAGGAAAGTCATGTTTATGCAAAAGTCATTTGCTGAAACAAGACTATTTTTTTAAAAGGCAGAAACCAGAGGAACGGAGTTCTGCAAGCTGATGCTTGTCCATCCACGTGTTTTCTACCAAGGACTCAGCATGAAATCTCAGGGCACATCCCGGGTTCTCTTTGGAGGGATCAGGTTTCCCAGAAAGAGGAGGCCACACCATCAAAAGGATGGAACAAGGCCGCTAGAGGCTGGGAGCCCAGGGAACATCTCGGGCTGTCCATGGCAGAGTTCACAGCAGCATCCTCAGTGTAAGGAAGAGAATCATCAGAGCTGGTCCTCAAGCAAACACCACCCTCCAAATGAGACTGCTCCACAGTCAGGCGTGCATGACCGTGCCGGAGCTGCCGTGGGAAACAGGAAAGCCGGCCACTGTTTCAAACCCACAGTCCTTTGAAGACACACATCACTTCCCCAGAATTCTTGCCTCCTGGATCTTAAATTATATTCGGTAACAGAGTCTTAAGAAGCCACGTCCGTGATATAAAAGATAGTGGGATTTTTTGTAGTTATTCTTGATCAGAATTCATGTAAGATTGTGTGTAGACAGCATTAGACCACATAGCAAACTCACAAGGTTAAAACCAAGCATGGCCGAAACCGGTTTGGCTCAGTGGATAGAGCGTCGGCCTGCGGACTCAAAGGTCCCAGGTTCGATTCCGGTCAAGGGCATGTACCTTGGTTGCGGGCATAGCCCCAGTAGGAGATGTGCAGGAGGCAGCTGATCGATGTTTCTCTCTCATCGATGTTTCTAACTCTCTATCTATCTCCCTTCCTCTCTGTGAAAAATCAATAAAATATATTTAAAACCAAGCATGACAGAGTTTTAATCTGTCCCCAAGGGATGTGGAAAGGCATCTGCCTATGGAATTGTATCCGGCTGATCAGAGATACATTTGGAATACTGCACTGGCCAAACAAACGCACGTCCGCGTCAGAATCCAGCCCTGTGGCAGCTTCTGTAACTTCTGAGTCCCACACACCTTAACCGTGGACCAGGGAACTGAGGCCCAGAGCGAGGCTGCCATTCGCGCTCTCTCCTTGCTTCCCACCCATTCTTTAACTTTCCTGCCTTCAACAGGGAGAGCAGGGCCCTGCTTTTCCTAAAGCCAGTGGGAGTTCCTTAAGTCTCTCGTAGGTAACTGTCTGGGCAGCAACTACCTCTCTAGCTCTAGAGACATCCCTCTCTCTGAGTTTCCTCTCTCCAGGGCTGCATGTTCTCATTTCTTTTGAAAGTTTCTATTGCTCGGCCTTCTTCAATATATTTGAGCTCCTCACGGTTCCATCTGATAAACTTTTCTCACCCTACCACTACCCCCAGGCAAATATATCCCCACTGTTTCAATCATTATAATTTTATTAAACATTAACACATCTTCATCTCTAGCCCAGACTTCTCTACCGAGGTCCAGAGGCAAATATCTAGCTGCCTAATGGGTACTTCTACTTGGATATGCTGCAGGCACTTCAAACAGAGAGCATTTAAAGTGAACCTGGCATCCAGCATGCCCGCCAATGGTCCTGCATTTCCATCGCAGGGATTCCAACATCTCCTCATTCACCTATCAGGCCGTGGTACAAGCTGTCCTTCCTTACTCCCATCCTGCCACTCCCAGCCAGTCACCCACGGTCAGGTCTCTCTTTAACCCGCCTCTCCGCCTTCACTACCATCCCTCATGCGGATGCATGCGATAGCCTTCTCACTGGTCTCCCTGCCTCCAACTTTGTTTCCCTCCAACTCATTTGCCCACAAGAGGAAGAG